ACGGTGATAGGCCTCAGTCACCGAGAGCTCTAAAGGTAAATACTGGACGGCGCTGTCACAGCGGCGTTTCTCTAATGGGGGATTCTCGGGACTCGCCGGCCATCTGAGAACAGGTGCAGGTCACAGCGCTCAGACACGTCAGTCATAGCTCATGATGGCCGCCATGAATAAGTTACCAATTTTGTTATCATTGCTGAGATCTCCATGCATCCTCCATGAAGACCCGTGTCCATTGGTAATGTAAAAGATATAATATCAAGATTAAATGATCACGCTAATCCGTTTCCTTACAACCCTCGCCTACATTCGCCTTTTACAGCGTCTAACGTATAGAGGGTTAGGGATCCGTAGGACCAACTCAGCCATTTAAATTTTAATGTTCCATGTCATTGGTTGACCTTCCAGGTTAGGTCAATGACCCTAAAATCTGAAAATCGGGACCTGCTAGAAGTTCGTAAAGCGAGATTTTGGGGTTTTAACCCTATTAGTGGCAGGGGGGTTGTTTTTATCCACCCCTCAGGTTTTTCGGGAATATCTCCGAAACCGCTGAAGCTACGATGCTGAAATTTTCTGACTTTTCCTAAAACTAAATTGGGCACAGTCCCTCAAAATTTCAAGTTCATAACTTTACCAGGGGCGGCTCCAGAGCACTGGGAATTGGGGGGTCGTATTCGTGAAGCGAGTCATTTGGGCGAAGATCACGATGCTGATGTATTATAACTGTATGCACCAGTTTTACGAACAGTGAATGAAAGGTATCATGTGATAACATATACAAAGTTATTGTGCATCCTCTTTTGACACGTTTTTGCTATAATAGGCGGATCCAGGCGTCCAAAAAGGGGGGGGGGGTTATGTTTTACCTCCCAACATAGGTGCCCTGACACCGCCTATGCATGACCAATACAATTGTAGTCGTTCTCTCATAAGAAAATTGTAACATAACAAGACCATTACCACCCTTTTTAGAAACAGTACCAACAAAAACCTAATTTACTATACTTTTTGTGTACCCCCAATCTCAATGATCTGTATCCGCCTATGATTTTTGAAAATGCATATTTTTAGGATCCATGTGAATTCCTGGTTCATTCTCTATCGATCGGCAAAAGTTGCGTTAAGATTGGTTCAGAAACCTGGCCGTGATAAACAGTCTTATAAAATGTATCTGCAATTTGCCCGTTTTTACCCCCCTCTACCCCCTATTGACATTTTTTAATTTTTATTTTTTAGAAATGTAGACCACGTTGAGCGAAATCGAATGCCGTTTGAATTTTGAAAATCGGCCCTTTAGATCTCGAGATATCAAGGGGAGGGGGTCGTAAACAGCCCCCCCCCCCCTGCCACTAATAGGGGTAGCCAGGAGCCTGCCACTAATAGGGTTTTAACCGCATTTTTCCTATTACGAATTTCATGTTAGTTTTGATCACAGATGATGTGTTCATGCATTTCGGGTAGCTTGGGTCAGATCAGGTCAGCTCAACCAGTAGGCTTCCTGCCGGCTATCCATCATGGGTGTCAACCAATCACCACTGAGTGCTTTCTAACATGTTACATGGACACCAAAACTACCTTTCAACTGTTCAAATGGGTGCTAAGTTCGAAATCACCTCCAAAACTACTCTAGAATTAACCCTCGCCCGCACATGCCATTTTTCCATCCTAGAACGCACATGGGGGTGGTGGTTGCCACCCCCCCCCCCGCGCCATTTCGTTCCTGTTGGAGATAGAGCTTAGGGGTAAGAACCAAAAAGATTCTTTGGGAAGAGATGAATCCAACGATACCCAGTTTTACCTTCTCAGGTCAGTCATTGACCTTCCAGGTCAGGTCAAACTAAAACATGTTGCTGTTTTGGGTCACCGTTGGATATGAAGTGCGCTGCTTATCATATACCGATGACGATGCCGTTTTCTGGTGCCAGGCCAGCTAGAACCTCTTTGTCACACTACCCGACCAGGTTTTTGCTGCTGAGGTCATTTCAGGTCAAGTTAGGTCAAGGTCAATTATATGTGTTTGTATGTCTGTGTGTGTCTGTGTGTATACTGATGTGTGCACCGATTGTTTATGTGTCCATATTACATGAAATCATGATCTGAGAAGCTTTTACCAAAAATGCAATCATGAAAAAAAATTCACAAAAAGTAAATTCAGCTTGCCTTAAACGCAATTATCTTAGATGACCTAGTTTGACCTTGACCCTGACCTTGACACCTGTACATCGTCGAACAACATGTCCCATGATAGGTGGGAGCTAGGTAAGACTGGCAAAAAAAGGCCGAAATCAGGGCGTTAAAAGCTCACAAGGCCCATAGCAAACGCAAGATGTTGAGAATTGGCCATTTGGGTCATGACATGACCTGAAAACAAGGCCATATCTCCGAAACCAAAACTCACAGAAACTTGAAAGTTTAAGTGGACATCAAGAAAGGATAGAGGAGCAGCTATACGAAAAATCAGCCTTCTAGCTCTAAAAATGTCGAGTGCAGAGCAGAAAGACTACCTGGGGGGAGGGGTGGCAACCCCCCCCCCCCCCCATGTGCGGGCGAGGGTTAAGCATGCAAAACTGGAAAAGGTCACCTAGCGTCAATGATAGGTACTGACCTGGCTTGCGCGTGAGCTTGACACCCAGCATCATGCATATAGGACAAACAGCATTCACATGTTGAAACATTTACAACCACAAAAAGACTGGAATCGCACGGATAGTGTGCACTGACATACACCGTTTCGCGATTCCGGCCTGACATGGCCTCGAGAAACAGGTCACAGGTCAAAGCTTCAGGGTCATAAAACAGCCAGGGTAATTGTGGAATTGATGAGCTCGAGGGTACTGAAAGTTTCGTCGCGATCGGTCGCTTTTGCGCGAGTTATCTGAAAAAAAAACGAGGGAAGTCCGTTCGACCCCCCGCCCTATATGAGCGAGGGTTAACCCGCGCCCCGCTGGGGGGGGGGGGGCAGAATCTGCCCCCCTCCCGTTTTTCGCCAATTACTTCTAAACGCGTTACGCCAACGACGTCACAACTTTTAGTACCTTATTATACATCAATTTGACACGTTCCCTGAAAATTTGAGCGAAATCCGTCGGAAAATTGTTGAGAAATTGATGTTTTAGTGACGTCGTGTTCGCCATTTTCGCCTCAAAAACGGCAAAATTTCAAACGCCGCTAACATCTTCATTTTTATAGGGATCAAGACGTAACAAAAAAAAGTTATACGTGATTCACTTTGTCTATCAAATGGCAATCTCGGTTTTTGAAAATTTTGGATTAAGGCCAATTTTTTTCTTTAAAAAAACTAACTTTTTGGGGAAAATAATTATAAAATCCAAAATTTTGAGTGTATCGAAAAAAACGGTACATATGTCAGAGACGTGGTCTATCTGCACCTACATACCAATTTTTAGAAGAATCGGTTCAAAAATGTGGGAGTTATTCAAAATTTTATGACGTCACGACACACAAAATTTTTGAAAAATGATTTTTTGTAGTTATAGACCTCGTACGGAAACAGAAATAGCACCATTCGATTTGCCGTGAAAAACTGCATCAGATAAACACCTTTTTAGGCCTTAACAACAAACTTCAAAATTTGACCTCACTTGACCTGACCTTGACCTGACCTCGACCTTAAATTCATCCAGAGGTGGTTCATATCACTTATTGAGTGTGCCTATTGAATTATATGAGTAAAATGACCCATAAAACATGTGTCGCACATGCCCTTTTCTATATTTTGTTTTTGGTGACCTGACCTGACCTTGACCTTTGAATGACATTGTGTGCAACGAATATTGTCTTGGTAGTCTAATAACACGTTTTGGGCAATCAGTCTCAGTCCATTCTTCGGCAACTACGGTGCAAGGCCGATACTGTAGAAACTTGCATTTTGTACCCTTGACCTGACCTTGACCTGACCTCTGACCTACTTAAGCAAAAAATTTGGACTCTTTAGATCCGCCTTGTTTAGAGCTTTCGATTGCCGTTTTCCCCGTCTTTCTACGACCATCGGTTCGGAAGTTAGACAGGGGAGGGGCAGAATCTGCCCCCTGTGTGGCTGTATGTATGGTATGTATGGCTGTATGGCGTATGGCTGAATAGCCCAGCGGGGCGCGGGTTAAGTCTCCCGTGGAGCTTGACCTTAGCTTTATTCGTCCTAGATTTATGCGTCGATTTGTCGAAATAGGCGAAGCTTGTCCTTTGTTTGCCTCTTGCGACCTGACCCTTGGCATAAAAATTCATAGTTCAATCTTCTCATGGCTTTGGACGTCATTTCTAACTCTGCCTACCGTTTGGGCCTTAGCGTCAAACGGGTCTGTGAAGCGAGGTAATACGTGGCCCATGAACCGAGTTAAAACGGTAGTGTTCAGCCTCTTCGCAACAGGCAGGGCGTCGAAAATCGAAATCCATAAGACCAGTGGCGCACGGGTTGAATGATATCTGCAAAGAGGTACTGATCATTTTCGATGCATCGGAATCAGGAATGCGAGGCTAAATGTACGTTCAGAAGTAGCATTGTAATATGTAAGTACATCTAAAAACAATAAAATAAATAAATAAATGAGAATTGCAAGGACATTGCTTGCGTGTCCAACAAAGCGACTGGCGATCACGCAGAGAGCTGTCGGTGGGAGTGGCTTTACTCCTCAGTGGTTCGTGTCTTGATCTATTAGTGAATACCTCGTTTCCTCGTTACTCTTGGTGATTGCGCTTTGTGGTTAGTTGAGCCGGCAGCTGTAAAACTGTTTAGCGTTGCGCTGCGCATACTATTTCTTTTTTATTGTTTGCTTCCTTCCGTTTAACAAAGTCATCCATCCAGCTCTTCGTTTCTATTTTGACAAGCTCCGAGAAGGGTGGGCTCGATGATAAATATAGCTAAAGACCATCAGCCTGCAGCTGCGTTTGGGCTCTCAGTCACGCTCAGGCCTCCCACCCTGCCCTGTCCCCGGACCCCTGCGCGGCAATGTGCACATATTGACCGGTGTGGCGCGCTGCCGACTCACCCGGTGGCTGGGATGACCGCGGAGACGCGCAGCAGGTGTAGGCCGCGTCGGCAGCGCGCGGTACCGCGAGCGGTCGGGTCGGGCGGTCAGGGAGCGCCGGCTGGCCCTGGGGAGGCCAGGCAGGGCTAAATAGCCCCCTGGAGGTGTCATCAGTCGATCGGACACCTCAGTTCAGAGCAGCGGGTGGTCGTCATGCCCCGAACGAGCTTTCATCCTCGCCCTTCGCTCACAGCAGGTATGTCCGAGTTGACCACAGCTAAAGACGGCCATGATGAATGCTGTGAAGCTGAAAGTCAATTGTATAAATTTGCACCTATGTACCTGTAAAAGATCTCGTCTGCTCAGTTAGTTGAGTTTCCAGAGATAGGATAGAGACGCAGAGCGTGTAACTTTAATGTATATTGCAAGCTAATTAAGAAATGATTGGTGGTGCTTTTAATAATTTGTATCAGATATTCAATACGGAGCATGATGTGAACACTTGATACATAGTAAGCCATTTTATGTTACATCAGCACATACATAAGCAGCCGTAGGTACCTACTGGTATTTTCATCGTTATCGTAACTTTCAGACTCAAGGTTCTAAGACAGTATGTCATCAGACCTAATAAGATATGTGATCGGGCCTAACCATACCAGTCCCCATGAACCCTACCTCTGTGATTTTCCTGTATGACAGGCCCTTGCATGTTTAGGGGGGTCGAATGAACCCCCCCCCATGGTTTTTCGCGAATAACTCGCGCAATAAGCGGCTGATCGCGACAAAACTTTCAGTACGTACCCTCGAGTTGATCAATTTTACACCTATTCTGAGAATTTCATGACCCTGACCCAAGTGACCTTTGACCTGTGACCTATTTCTCTAGGCCATGTTTGGCTGGAATCGCGATTCGGCGTATGTCGGTTCGCATTAGCCGCGCGTGTGCAAGTTTTTCGTGGTTTCAAACGTTCAAACATGTGATTTGGTGTTGCTCCCATACAATAGGGTAGGTGTCAAGGTCACCTGAAGTTCAGGTCAGGTCATTGACCTTTGGTGACCTCGGTTCACTTTTTCGAGTTTCACGTGTTGCTAGGCTAGTTTTTGAAGCTGAATTCGAATTTAGAAACCATTTGAACATTAACCCGCGCCCTGCTGGGGGGGGGGTGTTTGAACACCCCCCCTTGTGGTTTTTCGCGAATATCTCAAAAACGGCGGCGCGGAGCGCCGCCGTTTTTGGTACACCTTATCATACATCAATTCTACACATGTTGTGAAAATTTCAGACCAAGGTCATTCAAGGTCAGGTCACCAGGTCACTTGAAGTGACCTCACCTCATAAAAAGTTTCAATGTCTGTCATAGCTACACCGAGTGACCGATCGCTTTGAAACTTTCAGCGATTGCTAAGAGCAATAGCATGTATAAAATGTATATCTCAGAATTTTGATATCGATGACCTAAGGTCAGGTCAATTTTGCGACCTCCCCATTATAAGTCAATGGGAGAATATTGAAATGCGCCTCTTTTGGACGAAAGACATTATAAACACTCCCAAACACTGAATTACAAGTGGTTTAGACACACTGAACACGAAAATGGTGTCCGTGACCCCTGTTTATGCCCTGAGGTCATCTTAGGTCACGAATGGTATCTAACAGTTTTTCGCAAATAACTTTTGATAGAGGCATGCTAGAGCGATGAAAATGCCTTAGATGTGTTCAGCTCGACGATACGGATCGACTGATATGCAACATGACCCTTTCCGGTCAGGTCATGACCTTGACCTGAGGTCAAATTTTCAAGTTGACCTTTCAAGGTCAAGTTATAGTTCATTCGATGCGTCTTGACGAGAGGAACACGATGCCGGTAAAAGTAAGCTCGTACAAGGCTTGGGTCAAAAGTTATTGCAGAAAAACTGTTTCCGAAAAAATCGGTTATTTTTGCAGTTTTTGCCCCCTGCAGGCAAAACCGTTGAAGTTAGGTCAAATCTGAGAAAATTACTCAGAAAGGGCGTTAATAGGGCTATCGAATGCGCTTTTCCGCGGCGCTGTAGCTCTATTGGTTCCCGAGTTATGCGTTGGCTTCTTGGAAATTGTCGACATTCGACCTGGAAATCGGCGAAATTTTGCCTTCAATGACCTCTGGTGACCTGACCTTTGACCTGACCAAAAAATTGACCGAAGTGATTTCCTCATTATTTTTGACGCTCTTTCGAACGCCGCCTTCCGCGTATCGCTACGTGGCCCAGGAGCCGAGTTAGAAGGGGGGGGGGGTGTTCAAACACCCCCCCCCCCCAGCAGGGCGTGGAAATCCAGGACCCCCAGCCGGGCGCGGGTTAACGAAGTAGTTTTGGTGCCTTTGTAACATGTTACGAAGCTGTCAGAGGCGGTTGACACGTACTACGAATACCCGTCACGACCCCTACTGGTTGACCTGACCTGACCCGACCTGGTCTAAATGCTTAAAGACATCATCTGTGATCAAAACTAACACGATTTTCGTGATCAGCGCCCCGAAAAACCCCATAGCAGCCACACTTTACGGCTTTCTAACGGGTCCCGATTTTCCCGACTTTTGGGTCATTGACCTGACCTGGAAGGTCAGCCAATAACCTAGGACCTTAAAATTGGGTATCATCGACTTATCGTATCAGTTTTTTCGTGTGTCGACAACTTGTTCTCATATTCTGATGAAGGCGCAAAATGAGCATAAGGTTTCGGCTGATCTCACTGCCGGGAAAAGCGCTTGGTGCCGGTCACTTCGATTTTTCTCGAGGTTTTGGTTGAATTTTCTAACAGTCTCACGAATCTCTCGTTAAAAATCGAAAAGCATTGTTGGTAGGTCTACTACGAGTACATCTACTACGAGTGCATATAAAGATGTTACAAGAAAGCCTCGAAGAAAGAATTCAAATAAGTATTTCAGAATATGAAGTATTTTCGAGATCACTTAACCCGCGCCCCACTGGGGGGGCTATTCATAGCCCCCCTCCCGTTTTTCTGCAATAACTTCCAAACCGCTTGATGTATCGACGCCAAACTTTCAGTACCTTCGGCTGCATTAATTTGACACCTTGTGTCAAAATATGAACTTCGTAGCTACCATAGGTCAGCTGGAAATGACGTCAGAGTGACGTCATGTTCGGCCGATTTCGACGCAAAACATTGAACCACTGCAATCGCTCCCAAGAGCTCAGTTTTTAAGCTAGACCCAATTGTTTGGCATGAGAGGGCTCAGAAGAGACTGCGCTATCAAACTATTGTCTCGGATTTTCAAATTTTTTGAAAATTTTGAAAAAAAAAATATAATAAAATTCAAAATTTATATTTTTATATTTTTTCAAAAAGTTTTTGACTTTTCGAAAACAACCAGGATACATGTGATAGAACGCATGCTTATGACTTACTCTAGCAAGTTTTAGCTAAATATCTTCAAAAATGGCAAAGTTATACGCATTATTGCAAAAAATCACAATTATTAATTTTTCAAATCAATTTTTAGTACGTATTTGACATCGGACACCAATATAAATAGCACAATCGTGTTCCTGAGCTCAAACTGCATCCAATAGACACCTTTTTTTGAAAAATTTAGTTTCAAAATTTGACCTTTTTTGCCTGAAAGTGAACTGACCTAAGCTAAATTCGACTCAAAATGACCTCGGATGACACAAACGAATTCGATATAATGGCCTAAATGGACGATAAAACATGTGTCACGTGACCGACGCATGATATAATATTTCCGTGACCTGTGATGACCTGACCCTGACATGAAAATCAAAGTACAAGTTTGGTACCCTCAGGGTATCTAAAGCATCTGTTCACGAGTGTGTAAACCAAAAATGAGCCTGATCTGACTTGTAAGACGGCGGCCAGACCCCAAAATGTGAACAAGCCAAAATGCTAATAATTTTTCTTTGAGCTGACCTGTGACGTCATCGGTGAACTCGAGGTCAATGAAATTAGGTTTCGTTCGACAGTTTTTTCCGGGACTATCAGACGCCGTTTGAATTTTGACGATCGGCCCAGTAGTTTCGGAGTTAGGAGGGGGCTATGAAGAGCCCCCCCCCCCCCTCCCCCCAGTAAGGTGCGTTATACGCAGACCCCAGAGAGGCGCGGGTTAATTTGAAAGTTTTCTTAAATGTTTTTTTTTCCGTGTGAGCATTTCTAAATATCCACAGATGCTAGCGAATATGTAGATTTATGCAGAGACGACAGTAGACACGCTTGATTAAAATGCCGAGAGCAAGCAGGCGCCAGGCGCCAGCCAATAGAGCAAAAAAGTAAATACAAAAACAACTTTCTTGAACTATCATAGGGAAAAGACACTATCAACTTTAAAATATTTACGATTCACGGCAAAGCTAAAAATATGATCAAGTTCAAAGAGTGAGATCATTTATTTGCATATTCGTAACTAGCCTGATGTTATCCCTATGTTTTTTCGTCTGTCAAAAGAAATCGTTTGAATAATGTACAGACAGCCTCGTGTGATAGTAATTCAAGAACTCGATAAAAGTGCCATTATGATATATAAGGTTGACTTCAACTGCGTCGTTTTAGATTACGACAAGTTTTATCTATGTTAATTCAATTCAATTTATATGCGCTTAGTTATATTTGCTAGCTGATAATTTTCATATTTTGGCATCTCTTTCATTGAGCCTTTTGTAGGGCCTAAATAAATACACTGACTAGTTTTCATTCGAGAAAAAAAAAACATACTTATACAGATGCTTCAAAACGACTCTTAAGTGCCCTGCTTCATAACACGGGGTCGGCACGCGATAAATTCGATAACCATCAGAAGCTTATGGTGGTTATTATTGCGGTTTTTGCAGAGGTGGTAACGGGCTACGACATGGACAACATGACCAACAGCACGGCGGCGCCTCTACCGGAGGATCGGGCCGACATGAGCTGGGACGACGCCACCTGGATCATGACGGCCTCCTTCATCATCTTCACCATGCAGTCAGGTGGGCGACGGATCTGAGTCCTGAATACCCACATTTTACATACGTGTATGCAGTTGCAGTGTACGTGCTTAGATTACGTGTGCCACATTGCGTTGTTCAAGCACTGATACTTATGCATACGTGGCGTGCCTGAGGTAATGACGTTGCGGTACAAGCATGTTATGAAAACCGATTTCGTTGCAATTATGTCTGCAGTGCACCATATCTTGAGGCGACAACGGGTGATGAGACCGGCTCGCGCAGCCTGGTGTCAGTCTGCGTTCAGTGCAATTCTGTCGCCATCCCCTGGTGCTGACGGAACGAACCGATACAAGGGCTGCGACAGAATTGTCTATTACCCGCGCCCTGCTGGGGGGGGGGGGTGTTTGAACACCCCCCCCTTGTGGTTTTTCGCGAATATCTCAAAAACGGCGGCGCGGAGCGCCGCCGTTTTTGGTACACCTTATCGTACATCAATTCTACACATGTTGTGAAAATTTCAGACCAAGGTCATTCAAGGTCAGGTCACCAGGTCACTTGAAGTGACCTCACCTCATAAAAAGTTTCAATGTCTGTCATAGCTACATCGAGTGACCGATCGCTTTGAAACTTTCAGCGATTGCTAAGAGCAATAGCATGTACAAAATGTATATCTCAGAATTTTGATATCGATGACCTAAGGTCAGGTCAATTTTGCAACCTCCCCATTACCCAGCCAGCAATTTTGCTCCGGGCCCAAGCAGGCTCAAGTGCGGATTGCCCGAGATTTTTAGTCGGGCTAAAGTCGGCTAGGGCTTGGGCTAAAGTCGGCGTATGACACAGAAACGCCGACTAAAGCCCATGCTCTGCCGGAGGTATGCCCACTCTGCGAGCTCCGGGCAGCCGTAGTTTAGCCCTAGTTGAGCGACGATTGGCGTTAGCCCGATTTAAGCCCGAGCAGTGAATCCATTTACATAATGGAAATTACTCTGGGCCCGAGCGGGCTGAACTCCGGCAAGCCCACTCTGTGTGCCCTGTCTATCCCGACTTAAGCCATAGAAGTGAATGGGGTTTATACATTGCAAACTGCTGTGGCTTTGCTCGGGTTCGGCTCGAGTGACGGCTCCTGTTTTCTCAAGTCTCGACTTGACTTCATCTTGCTTTTGCTTCACACTGGATCAAGTAGCAAGGAGCAGCCAATGCACTTTCAGCAGGTTGTGTGGTTTTAATGCATATTTAAAATTGCTACGGTCACTCATATGCTCTGTTAACCGGTCATCGAGCATTGCGAAAGGAAAGTAGTGGTTGACTTTGATTGAATGTTTATTTCAAACGACTACAGACACGTCAAATGAAACACAAATACATGAAACAGTGGACTGCAAACTGCAGCAATAATATGGCATGAGTCATGAAAAAGCGCCATCAAAACTATAAATCAATCACAAGACCCGCTAGCCTTCCTCCCCGTTCGGCGTTCATAATATTTGGTTGAACACTTAACCGAAAGCATAAAGTATAGGACAGCAAGTAATCGCTCATAAGACATAAAGCAATTAGCAAACAATCGTTTATAAAGAACTTCACTCTGGTGAATGGGAGCTTTGGAGGCGTCTGGCTCCTCCACACACACACACACATCTGCAGTAGGTGGTCGGCCAGCTTTCGGCGCAGTTTCCGTATATGTAGGTATACCTAATTAATTATAAGCAGGCAGTTTCCGCTAAACCACTTGGCGAGGGCGACAGCGGCGTCCACCCGGTCCTGGTTTGTATAACTATTCCATTTTTTGGAACAATTTGCTCTAATGGTACGTACCTGAAAAAGAGATCAATTGGTTTAATTTACATTGCATGTTTGCTTGAAAAATAACTTATTGTTGCATTAATACTGTAACAGCACTTCTCATTGATCCGTATAAAATGTTCATTCGAATTTTTCAACGCGGACAGAGAATGAGCGCGCTCGGTGATAAGTAGATAAATATTTGTGCTTTGTATTTCATTTTCCTGGTTCAAAAGTGCTGGTATTTCACAAAGATATACATAAAGGCACGGAATGCGGCTTTTCTGAGCGAGGGTATAAGTCGCCAGGCTGAACAGCTATTCAGCTTCATGTTTGATGGCGTGAAACTCAGTCAAAATAATGACGTTTACATACGATCAAGCGCACCATTCAATACAATTACCTACCAAACTCCATGCCAGTTCACTTGATAAGAGTAATGAGCACTATCCCTTCTTCGCGCTGTCACACGCGCCCAAACATCAACCACCAAATGCCCCAACACCGGTGTGTCGTTTCGTCGCACAGCGCGCAGACTGTCACAAACGCTGCACATGATTGGCGCAGAACTGCGCATGCGCGAACAGCCGAACAAGTATGGCTAAGCTCCGGCTTTACTCCAGTTAGCCGAAGGACACAGCCAGCTTGATCAGCCCGCGCTCCGCCCAAGTTAAGCCTGTTTTGGATGCGTGGGCAGATGTCGGGCTGAGCTACTGCTATCCGCACGTGGGCATAGCTGCGGCATGCCCAAGCTCAGCCCTAGTAAAAAATACATTGGTTTTGATCAAAGTGGGCAAACCCAAGCTAAGCCTAAGCTGCCCGACGTTTGCCACAGTTCAGCCCAAGTGAATTGCTGGCTGGGTATAAGTCAATGGGATAAAATTGAAATGCGCCTCTTTTGGACAAAAGACATTATAATCACTCCCAAACACCGAATTACAAGTGGTTTAGACACACTGAACATGAAAATGGTGTCCGTGACCCTTGTTTATGCCCTGAGGTCATCTTAGGTCACGAATGGTATCTAACGGTTTTTCGCAAATAACTTTTGATAGAGGCATGCTAGAGCGATGAAAACGCCTTAGATGTGTTCAGCTCGACGATACGGATCGACTGATATGCAACATGACCCTTTCCGGTCAGGTCATGACCTTGACCTCAGGTCAAATTTTCAAGTTGACCTTTCAAGGTCAAGTTATAGTTCTTTCGATGCGTCTTGACGAGAGGAACACAATGCCGGTACAAGTAAGCTCGTACAAGGCTTGGGTCAAAAGTTATTGCAGAAAAACTGTTTCCGAAAAAATCGGCTATTTTTGCAATTTTTGCCCCCTGCAGGCAAAACCGTTGACGTTAGGTCAAATCTGAGAGAATTACTCAGAAAGGGCTTTAATAGGGCTATCGAATGCGCTTTTCCGCGGCGCTGTAGCTCTATTGGTTCTCGAGTTATGCGTTGGCTTCTTGGAAATTTTCGACATTCGACCTGGAAATCGGCGAAATTTTGCCTTCAATGACCTCTGGTGACCTGACCTTTGACCTGACCAAAAAATTGACCGAAGTGATTTCGTCATTATTTTTGACGCTCTTTCGAACGCCGCCTTCCGCGTATCGCTACGTGGCCCAGGAGCCGAGTTACAAGGGGGGGGGTGTTCAAACACCTCCCCCCCCCCCCAGCAGGGCGTGGAAATCCAGGACCCCCAGCCGGGCGCGGGTTAACCTTTAATTTCCGGCATTCGTGTCGACTATTGGTATCGTGGATCGTGCTGGTTCCTTTCAATTCAACAGGCTTGCAATTCATACGGCTATCGCATGACTGTGTTCGAAGCTCTTCGGCTGTTTTTTATTATGTCCTGGCACTCAGCGCCGTTCAATACATTCATAAACCGCACGGATACAACATAGCTCAGGCCGGTCGCGCAAAGCTCGGCTGCTGGACTGACCCACTGCGCCTACCCCGTGCAGGGTTTGGCCTGCTCGAGTCCGGCTGCGTCTCGCTCAAGAACGAGGTAAACATCATGGTGAAGAACGCGGTGGACGTGATCCTGGGCGGCCTCTCCTACTGGGTGTTCGGCTACGGGCTCAGCTTCGGCACCGCCTACTCCAACATCTTCTTCGCCGCCGGCGACTTCGCCGTCTCAGCTCCGGAACAAGTTAGTAGTGTTATTTATTCTTTCTGTCGCTGCTTCGGATTTTAGTGGACTTCTCAAATGTTACACACACTCAACGAACATTCACGGCATACATCCCCTAATTCTTCCAGTTCATTGTGTGCATTCGTCTGCTATCCAGTGGCGGCGGAACACCTTCAATTAGGGGGGGGGGGGCACTGCAGACTTTTGGTCCCATTCTTCCCATGCAACGCCCATGGGGCTAATGTTAAAGGGACTATCCCACCTTTAACATGGGGTTTGAGTTGAGATAGCCAAGTTTGCGGCGAGGTTCAGAAACCACTATCTATCTAGGTTGCAACCCCCGCAGCCTCTTGGTGTTGAAGAAATTCGTTCCCTTCATTTGAAAATGGGCCTTGTACAAGGCCCTATCTTCAACATGGAGCGACCGTTAGTGTGACGTCACCTCGTTTAGTCAATCTGATTTAAATGGGTTTGTTCGTTGAAAAATCGCTTAAAACTTGGTCTGAACTTTGTTGTGGTGCCTACAGAGTAAAAAGAATCAGCTTTATGACAGTAATGTGGCCTGGGGAAGGAGGTAATTTTGGGCTGTGACGTCACATATTTGAAAGTTTGTGTTTGGAATATGGGAAGCCTAAGATGTTTAATGAAAAATAAATGCCAGAACCGTGTTCCTGGTCATCCAATCTATAAAGTCGGGCACAATTTAACTGGTTTTAACAACATTTTAGAAGGTGGGATAGTCCCTTTAAAATGTCGAAATCAAAGGGGGCACGGTGCCCCGGCGCCCTCTCCGTTCCGCCGCCTATGCTGCTATCAATCGAATATCCACAAGCTTTTTAGCTTACAAGCCACAAAGCATTTGCTGACCTCATCTGAGGTTTGTGGAATATTGTTAGCAATAGCTTTGTCAACCTTTTACCTCATGTCCTATGTTGCAGGACATGGGACCACTGTTCGCGACATACATTTTCCAACTGTCTTTTGCTACGACAGCGACGACCATCGTTTCCGGTGCCATCGCGGAGAGGTTCGTGCCTAAATCACAAAATACAGCGATGTCCATCCCCGCACCATTTGTAACTCAGTCACGGTACGCTTAACTTTTACCGTGTAAAGTCTGAATTATTTAACCAGTACCTATAACGCCTTTTGGGGCGACTAACGGAGCGAGCGAGAGGGTGAGCCTTGCACGTGCGAAATTGCGAGAGGGTACTGCTGATATGCAGTGCCTAGTGGGTGCCTACCTACATGCCAACTTTCAGCGCAATCGGCCAAGTAGTTACCGAGATATTGCAACAATTACAAAACGGACACCTCTTCGTTTTGCACGTGGCACGTGCATAAGGGGTCACCCACATGCATCAGGAATAGTCCAATACTTGGTAGAAGGAATGAAGCTACCCTACAAAAATTACCGCGTGTAAATCGGTCAAGTGGTTGCTGAGATATAAGCCTCGCAAAAGCGTGACCACGGCCGGCCGGCCCCGGCCTGCCGCTCATACTCAGAAATTTCCGAATCTAAGGAAAGACTACGCTCGCTTCGCTCGCTCCGTAATCAGCCTGAATAACAAAAGTTGATTTTCATGTTATATCAATATAACCATTGAATTAACATTGTCTTTGACGGACATCAGACTACTGTGCTTACTGCTAAGTGCTAACCCTCACCTAAAACGGGTTTTGATATCTTTACTGCTGTTAACCCTATCTAAAAACAGCTGATATTGATGGTTTCTGATGTAAAACTCGTACAACGGTTTTTGATATTTCTAATGCTGTTAACCCTCTCTGAGAAACAGCAGATACTGACGGTTTCTTCTGTAAAACTCGAGCAAAAAAAAAAGAGACCTTAGTTTCAAGACCTTATTTTCTCGTCTGTCCGGCATGTGAAAGAGAACTGTGTGGATGGTTTATTTTTAGCGAACGGTTTGGTACAGTGCACCAATCCCTGTCAACAGGTAGTGAGCTGTGTGGCCTACGGCTATCACATTACATTTTGGCGTCTAGTAGGGGAAGGTGGGGTAAGACGGACCAGCTAAGGTTTGAGGCCGCATATCTTGCTACACTGCTCTCGTAATTCATATTATTTATAATCTTCGGAATGCTCAATCCTTCCTCTGTTGATATGTGTAAAGACTAAATTTCAAATTAAAGACATCTAGGTGGTGGATGCTCTTAAAGAGGGACATGTCAAAAACTCAAACAAGAAAAAACGTGGGGTAAGACGGACCACCCAGCAGTGCCTGCTATCCGTTCATGTGTGTTACACTTCTGCTCTGTACTCTTGTAAGAAAAAGTAACCAGAATGGTAAAATAACAAAATGAGCCTTTATTCTTTACTCATGTGTGTTGGAAGTGCAGCTAAAAGCTGGGAACATGTGTGTTGATTGTCGTTTGGCATGAATGCATGCTAACTGAACACTTGCATGCATGGCTCACATGCAACAAAGACTCCTTCCTGAAAAATTTGCTTACTTAAAGGTAGTGTGCCACCTTTGAAAGATTTCCCATTTTATTTTTCCTAGGATAAGAAGCTTCTGTTTTTACCTAATATCGCAAAAAAAAATCAAAAATGGGCCTGGAATAGTGCCTTTTTCGCCTAAAAGTTTATCGGTTTTTAGATATGTATAACAACTGTAGTGGGCTCACATGCAAACAGGCGTCGGGCAACAATCGCGAATGCGGCGCACTTGTGACAATAAGCAAAGGTCATTATAGTGTTACGACCATACGACGTACGGGAATGAGTTATCAGCTGTCTAATCGTAGACAACACAATGTCGAGCCTTAAACTGTAAGCCCGTATTGGTATTGTTTCTTTTATTTGGCTGTCGAACATTATTTATGGTTTGAAATATGATTTTATGTAAAATAATTGATATGAAAAAGCCGTCTTATAAGTTATGACCCCATTTCACCACACGCAAGTGGCAGAAATGACAATGATCAGCTGACGCATTTTTCTTGGCCGAAGTCAGAGCGCGCGGCCCGACGCACCACGCGTATTTGGAAATTCCGACCTCGACGAGCATCAGAAGCCAACTAACAGGCGTGTTCGAAACCGCAGGAGCTGATGATGAACGGGTTTATCGAAACTTGATTGGATGAGCATATCGGTAATAGCGATTTCAGTGTGTGCATTTATTGTTCATAGTGGTGTGAAATGTGGTTGGGGTACGACCGACAACCCGTCGGGGCGAATTTCGCACTGGGGTACTCAAAATTTGAAGAATTTAAGACGTTTCCATGAGTTTTGAAGGTATGGATAAGTTCTAAAAATCCGGTTCTCCTTATCTGGGCCATTAACTCCATACGGTCCAAGAAAGCTGGCACACTACCTTTAAGCTTGTGTCAATGTTTTGGGAAAGAACTTTCCATATGCAGGGTATAATGGACCACCACAGGGTAAGATGGAACACAGTGGTCCGTCTTGCCCCAAATCTAAATTCTGTCATTATCATGACGTATATGTCAAATAGCCCAACATTGCAAAACCTTGCCTTTCCTAAAGTGTGACTATAACCAGGGGCGTCGCCGACGGGGGGGTCAGGGGGGTCGCGACCCCCCACTCGTCAGAACCGGGGGGTCGACCCCCCCACTTTTGGCGATGCTGAGTATGCTTTTTTAGCTATCATGTCAGGGAAGTTGGCGTCAGCAACATCAACAAATACAACGTCAGATTCAGAATCGCTTCAAGAGCTCCCTAGTCCCTATTGCTTATAGGTCAATAAGCTGTGGGCTAGAACATCAGTATGACAATATGATTTTAGTCCCTTTTAATCCCTCAAATGAGCGAGCGCGTCAAAACTGACCCAAGCGTTAGTCTGATTGTCAAAATAATGGTTGCAGTCGATTCGTCGGATGACGTATCAGTAGCTACGAGGTATGTAGGAGAGAGTGGTGCAGGAGGCCCCCCCCCCCTTAAGCTCAGTTGCTATTTTTAGACAACTGATAATATTTAAGAGCTAACGTGTGCATGCGCTGTGAGCATGCATCATTTTCCCATACATATTTGCATTCAAAATGAATCTAGGGGGTACACAAACCGTAAACTTTAACATTTTGGAAAAAGTTGCAAAAGGGCCTCTTACACTATGGGTATGGTAAGACGCCCCCCCCTCGGGTGTTTTACAAGTCAAGTCGACTTGTAAAAGACGCTTTGCGAACACAGCTGCAAGGCCTTTTATTTCGAAAAGCTAAGCACATACGGTGTTACCGAAACCAATAACACTTCCAAAGCGCTCGAACAATGCGAAAACTAGCACAACCAAACGCTGATGACCAACGAAAATTGTACCTATTACCTCTAAGAAAAGAAACAGAAAAAAGAAACAAAAACAAACTCCTTGAAAAAAGAATGCCACGCCTGCCGCAGGTGCAGGCATTTTAGCATCGGGGGCGTTTTTAATGGGGGGGGGGCGTTTTATCATCCTCGAAGGGAGGGCCTCTTAAAAAAATGCAGTGTTTTAACGTCACAATCTTTATGGTTTATGAGACATTTGCAGCGCACCAGAACATGGTCTATTCTGAAGCTAACATGTGACAAATTTCGATGAGATAAGATTGCATTTGATAGCCATTGTTTTTTCAGATATATAAGGGTGATAAAGATGCATATATCTGGCAAGTAAAGGGGCAAAAACAGAAACAGGCTTACCAAAAGTCGCTGCGACGCACCTGATACCTCAGGTTTCGTGAGTTGTTGTTTCAAGAGGGCTTCTGCTTTACAAGAACATTAAAAAATAAATAACATTATTGGTTTGGTAAAAAAAAGCGATGGGGCCTCTTACCATACCCTGCCTCTTACCGACCCTGGGCGTCTTACACGGATCTCCCCTACCTGGCTAGCCTCAGCCGTGCTACCCTCGGACCTGCCTGCATAGGGGAAATGGGGTCAGATGGTGGATCCCTCTGGGGCTTTCCTAATAAGACGCGCAAAAAGGAGTAGGTATATTGCAACGAAACTTCCAGTGACCTCGAGTTAATGAATTTTACACCTATTCTAAAAACAAAATTGGCCCCATGATTCGAATATGGATGACCTTGGTTAACTTTTTTGAGTTTTATTTGCTTCCACATACAAGTGTGGTTTTTGGGGCTGATTTCGAGTTGAGCGCCCGTTTGAACCGTTTGAAGTAGTTTTGATAAATGATGGTTATGTAACATGTTACGAAGCTATCGTTGGTGGTTGTCAGTCACCCACTCTAGATGGCCGGCTGGAAGCCTGATGGTCGACCTGACCTGACCCGACCCGATCTACCCAAAATGCATGGAGTCATCATCTTTGTTCAAGACTAACATCGAACTCGTACTCGGGACCCCGATAACAGCTACGGCTCACTAAGTTCTAGCAGGCGGCCAGATTTTTCCTACTTTTGGGCGTTGACCTAAGATGACCCGGCCAAGACCTTGAAATTGGGCATCATCGGCTTTCTCTCATCACGGGCAGCATTTTCGCTCTTCCGCGAAACTCTACCTCGATCAGGGGCCGAAAGCATGCCTTATGCGTTACGTTGGTAAACGTTTTACCTTAGCGACCCGCAAAATACGAATAAGAGCTACAGCAACACAGAAAGCGTATTCGATAGCTTTTTAAAGCTCTTTCGCCAACTTCGCCTCAGATATGACTTCGGGTCTATGGCTTGTGTACCATAGAGTCCAAACAGCTAAACTGACGGATTTTGCCGAAACATTTGTTCTGTAACAACCTATGATTCAGTGAATGTGCATGATATTCATGTTATCACCATCGTCTTTATTTCGTCGAAACACGTCGCATGGCTTACAATTTGAACTTAAAAACTTGAATAGAAAACTTAACATCAGGTAAAGGTCATGACCTGACCGGAAAAGAACCTGCTGCATATGGATCGATCTGTGTTACTGAGCTGAACACACTCCAGGTGCTGTCATCGCTCTACAACGTCTCCATCAAAAGTTGTTGTCGAAAATGTGTTATAGAGACCTTTTTTGATGACCTAATGACTGACCATTTCAGTCACCACTGGTCATTAGCTGCACCTTATCACTAAAATGAACAAGGTGCCATGGCTACAAAAGTATCTAGCGTTTTTAAGCATATTCTTTCAAAGCAGAGGGCATCGTGCTTTTTCCCATATCTTATCATGATTGGTGAGGTCACATACCTATTTGACCTGACTTCGCTTCTCAGATGTAAAATCCCAGATTCATGAACTGTTGGCACTTATAATCCCATTCATTACACCAAATTTCAGACTTATACGAGTCAGGAGATAATCTATAGGAATGACAAGATTGCAGTTTTAAGAGGCATTAAAACTGAACTTGACATGACATTGTGACCTGACCTCAGGTGACCTCTGCTTGATTTTTATGCACGATGCAAAAATGATGTACAATAAGATATACCGCTGCTTTCGCGGCGCGGCGCCGAGGTTTTTCTCCGGGCACACGAAAAAACCGGGAGTGTGGCTAAAAACGCTAAAAACACCCCATCACTAAAATGGGTTTCAAGACGAAGACCGGAAACCCGACCCCCCCACTCAAAAATCCGTGGCGACGCCCCTGACTATAACTAAGTTTATAACTTTGTTCTACACAGTTAAGTGCAAAATAGAAACTAATCATGCCAGAAAGGCGCCGTAATTGAATCACCCGTAGACCTCTTATATTAGATCGGTTTGACGAAAAACAACATTTTTCTCAATAACTCAAAAGCTATGCATCCTAGCAGCATGAGCTCAAGGTGGCCATTGTTACGAAGGAAAACAAACATAGTGAGTGCATAAAGCAGTAGATACCAGCAGCGGTTCAGCCGGGAGGGCTGGTGGTCCGTCTTGCCCCGCTGGGCCGTCTTACCCCACCTTCCCCTATTGACAGAGCACGCATATTTTAGCAAAAGTGCTCCCAATTCTTACTACATGGCAGAGTCGTTAGTTGTGACAAGTGTTGGCAATTCAGAAAAGTGAGCACTTTAGGTCGGGAAACAAGCGATTCTAATGTGATAAGTGTGTAGGGACATTGAGACGCATTTTATTTCGTTATTGGACAGGGTCAGGAGTGGTAGCGGCATTCGGTGCGCCTCAGAATATTCTGTGATTAAATTCGCCGTGGTTATTTCTGTTAAGTTAAAACACAGTTACTTAAGTATCACGCATGCACAATCGGAAGAAAAGTAGAGTACGTAAGCCTAAAATCCCAACCTACACGAAACATTCTCATCGGGCCCACACATAAAAACCCGTAAAAGTCTCAAAAGGAAGATATTTACATTAGTATGTGTGTTTCAAAGTCCGCTTATTTACACATGCTTCAATTACTTATGTAGTTTCTCTGGAAATGGCATTTATGCGTAAAAAAAATACATAGGTGTAGATATATATGACGGTACTGTGTCTTGTTGAGGTCAAAGATAATTATAGTGGCGTAAATTATCCCAGATGATTTAACGAAGCTTATTGCTACAGCTGTTACTCCGAATTATAATTTTTAAAAGGACATCTTAACACCATCTACTAAATAACTAGTAAATATGGTGGAATATGAATAGAAGATTAAACGAATACTTACGAATGTTATAACGAATGCTATACCACTCGGCTGCTTCGCAGCTGGAGCACTTTTCACGTGTCTTACGCTAGGGTAAACACCGTCAAAAAGAGCCTGTTCAATCGCATACCAATGCTCAGCAATATGTTTCTGGACGCAAACCGTGACGTCGATGTGTGGCAACATAGCCAGCTACAGTATAAGAAACGATTAGCAGCGTATGTCCGCTCGAGGCAGCCATGTGCACCTTAGATAGAACGGGGAGATGTGAACTGTAGCATTTCCTCATACTTCTAACGAATCTAGGTCTGCTTGATATGTTCCATCCGTGTATGTGTGTGTATGCGTGCATGTATGTGTGTAATATGTAGGTATATTGGACTACGTCCATCAATGGGTGCCCATGCCCGTGGATGTTTAAAAAAAAATAAACAATAGTAACGAATGTCATTAGCCGTTTTCACGACGGCCATCTGGTACACATTTGGTGCACATCTGGAACAGACTAGGTGCAGATTTGGTCAAATCAGGTTCAGTGTGTCTCTTAGCAGCTATCAGCTAGGGTTGCACTAATTAATTGCTTATATGCCTGCCTTGTCATATTATCAGAGAGCATCATCGATTAAAACACTGAAAAAAAAATCATAAAATGAAGATATTTGCTGTAAAAGAAATTTGGTGCAGACTATTTGGTCAAATCAGGTATACATTCGCCGGATAGCCCGTCGTAAAAACGGCTAATATCTCTGAATATTATAATATCTCTGAATATGTTAGGCGTTATAGTTGCCTAACCGTACCTATAACGGCTGCGGCAGGTTCAATTTCATGGCCTACTGCATGTTCTCGTTCATCAACACGGTGGTGTACTGCATCCCGGCCGGCTGGCTGTGGGGAGAGCACGGCTTCCTCTACAAGATGGGCGCCATCGACATCGCCGGCTCGGCCGGGGTGCACCTGGTGGGCGGCGTCTCAGGTGAGGGCCCGCCATCCCAGACACAACGACGCGGCGGATCCGAGATTAGGTTTTGGAGTGAGATCCGCAGAGTTGATACTGCCTACATAAGATTGAATTAATAAGCCTGTCCCGTAGCTCAGTTGGTAGAGCGTTGGACTCCCGGTGGTGAGAGCCCGGGTTCGAGTCGTTCCGGCGCTCGATATTTGAGACTCCTGACGGGGATTGTCTGCGGTCTGTGGGAGGGTGAGAGCAGCTGCAGCCAGTTGAAGTCAGTAGAGTGGGACAGGCCGTGTCCGGCTTTGAAGGGCACGCTAAACTTTGGTATCTAGTTATATATTCTCCCGTTACCCGATTGCGTGATCGGACGGAAGGGGTCGGGGTCTGCGCAACAAGCTCTGCTTAGCGTGGGCTCCGGCTCTGTCAATCCGTCAATTCAAACATTCGAGCTAAATTTATTTATGACAAAAAGATTGAAATAATGATGGAAGAACGATCCAAAAGGCTTTTATGATGTTTGGAATGATAGGCATTTTTCGATGATACTACTTGTTGATGATAGTTCTTGAATCCTGATGATGAAATGTTGCACGCTTGTTTTTATGATGTATGCAAATGCAGTTTGCATGCACCAATTACAATAGTATTTAGCAGAAGCACCTTATGTATGACAAACATTTGACACTGCTGTAATTCACACATCTACCTCTTCCAGCTATGTATGACTGGTATATGACGGATTTTCCAGTTTCCCTGAGACGTGACACTTCCAATTCCTGGGTGATGCCATCCCCAGTTCCTGTTGTCAGTTTCTGCAGTTACCGCTACGTCGGCGCCACTAGTTCCTGTTATGCCGACGCTCCTCGTCTTCGTGAACCGTCGCATCCAGTCTGTATTACGTCACCCCAGTGCCCTTGTGTGACCCTGTGTGCCCTGTGTGACCCGGCCCCGACTCCTCCCGCAGGTCTGGTGGCATGCATCATGGTGGGTCCGCGGCTGGGCCGATACGACCACGGGCACGAGCCGTTCCCTATGGGCAGCCCAACCAACGCCATGCTCGGCATGTTCATGCTCTGGTGGGGTTGGCTGGGCTTCAACTGCGGCAGGTAACGGACTCGCTGGGGCTGGCCGGTGGGAGCCGCCGCCCGTCTGCCGGGGGCGGCACTGCAGCTCCATTTAGCGCTCCCCTCCAGCTGTCACACAAAGCCGCTAAGCAAACTGCGCTGCATTCGCCGCATTGCCGCGACCACATCTGACCAGAATCTGTTAAGCTTTAATGACGTCGCGAAAGTAATTTCACGCCTCGCCACGGCCGAATTTCCCTGGACCAGGCCGGTTAAATATTTGCCCGTTTCTCGCAAGTCGGTAGTGCAAGCCTTACGGAGGCAGTCTTAAAGAGAATATTGTTTAGTAGACTGGTTATAATGCTGTTGCATAACTTTGACGTTATTCTAGGAGCGCCGTGTAGTCATTGAACTTAGGTTTTGTCTTGATGGGCTTTCTTGTGTGGCCATGTGTTGTCCGTCTGACTGACATCTGTCTTGCTGGACGTTCCATGAGCCTCTGTCCGTCTGTTTTTCTGTCCGTTTATTCGTCTGTCTGTCTGTCTGTCTGTCCTTTTGGGACTGTACGTGTGTCCGTCTGTCCTGCTCACCGTCTGTCTTTATATCTGTTCTGCTATCTCATTTCCCGTCCTTCGTCAGCACGTTCGGCGTGCGCGGCCACAAGTGGAAGTACGCCGCCCGCTCTGCCGTCACCACCATCAACGCTTCACTGGGCGGCGGTCTGTTTGGCTGTGCCTTCAGCCTCATCACCACCAAGAAGCTGATGATCGGCGACCTCATCAACAGCGTGCTCGGAGGCCTGGTGGCCGTCACAGGTCAGTTGAACGCGCAGATCAGCCGCGGCGCAGTGGTTAGAGTAACGGAATGGTGATATGGAGGTAGATGGTTCGAATCCACACGGCGACATCAATTTTGCAGGCATGTCAAAAATATTCGAGAAACTTGTATATAATAGACTATATGAACATCTTCTAAGCAACAGTCTCTTAACAGAAAGGCAAAGTGGATACCGACATTATCACGGGACATACACTCAGCTTGTTTACTTGATTCACAAGCTGTACTCTTCTCTAGACAACGAACGTGATTTTACAATCATTTACCTAGATATATCCCGATATTTTGATACCATTTGGCATGAAGGGCTATTAGCAAAATGTAAGGTACATTGTGGAATGAACGGAAAGCTATTAAGCTGGTTAAGATCATACCTGCACAACAGGACGCATAGTGTGCGTGTGGATAATTGCATGTCGAGAACGCAAACAATTAACGCAGGATGCCCTCAAGGATCGGTTTTAGGACCACTTCTGGCATTAGTGTATCTTAATGACCTAGATGGTGTAACCGAAAATGAGCTACTCTTCTTTGCTGATGACACCATTTTGTTGAAGTCTCATTTACACGGCTCGTCAGAAGCAGAACGATCAATTCAACAAGACATTGCAAAAATAGAACACTTTGGAGAGAAATGGGCAATCACATTTAACTCGTCAAAAACTACACAGCAAACATTCACTAATAAACGCACACTTAGCCCACCCTCCCTTACCTTTGGACGTAGTCCGATCCCCACAGTAGCTAATCACAAACACCTTGGCTTAAATATAACCACTGACCTCAAATTTCATCTGCATACAAAAGAGATAGTAAGAAGAGCAAATGCTGCACTAGCTCCATTGTACCCCGTGGCGAAATTTATTCCTCGACGCGTTCTAAAACAAATCTATTTAACATATGTACGACCCCTACTTGATTATGGAGATGCAGTCTTTCATGACTCCCTTACCTTTAGAGACTCTTTAAACTTAGAAAGGGTTCAAAACAGAGCAGCAAGGCTCATAACCGGAGCTTTTCGAAGGACACCAACAAAATCACTGCTAGTAGAATTAGGACTTACAACATTGCATACAAGAAGAGAAATAAGCACGCTTAAACTATTTCACAAAATCAAGCACCATGCGCCCCGCTATCTATTAGACGTTATCCCCGGCACAAGATACGAACAAACTCAGCGTGACCTCAGGAACTCTCGAAGCATAAGTGCACCATTCAATCGCTTATCTTCCTTCAAAAACTCATTTTTTCCTTCGACCATTAAAAGATGGAATCGACTATCAGAACAAACCAAATCAATCAGAAATGCTATTGAATTTAAACAAACCTTAGAGAAGATGTATGGGGTAGCGAAACCTTTGTTTTATTATCACGCGCACTGCAGCGGGTCTGAGCCGAACACGAACTGCAGGGGGGGGGGGGGGTTGAAAACAACCCCCCCTGAGATCTCGAAAACGGCGCAACGTAGCGACAAGCGGTAAACGGCGTTGGATAGGTTGAGATGAGATCTACAAGAAATACAAAGATCATTTTTGGGTCAGGTCAAAAACGAGGTCACCAGAGGTCACCGAAGACAAAATGTTACGATTTTCACAACAGGAATTTCGCGGTAGTTTTTCTTGAATAACTTGTCTTGCACACAAGACAGAGGATCGATTCGAACGCCATCGTTCTTAGCTCGTCAAGGCGCATCGAATGATATATAATATGACCTCGAAAGGTCAAGTTGAAAATTTGACCTCAGGTCAAGGTCATGACCTGACCGAAATAGGTCATGTTGCATATCATTCGATCCGCATTGACGAGAAAAACACGATAAACGTCGAACGGAGTCTCTATCTCTATTCAATCTCAAGTTATTGAAGAAAAACCGCTGGTGACGTCAGGTGACCTAAGATGACCTGGAGATCACCTTCCAAAGGTCATAAGTGATATGTTTCGGTGAAATCACCAACAGGGACCTGTAATACTATGATCCTGAGCGTATTGAAGTCATAGGATGGCATTCAGAGTAAGTTGAAATTTCTCCCATTGACTTATAATGGGCCGGTCGCAAAAATGACCTGACCTTAGGTCATCGATATAAAAATTCCGAGATAAACAAGTTGTAGCTCGTGATGACTTTACTATTTCCTGTGGGTTTCAAGATCATATCTCAACAACTGTGGGCTTGGTGGGATTGCAAACTTCGAAATTTACGTTTCGAGGTAGGGTCACTTGACCTGACCTGGTGACCTGACCATAGGTCACCTGGGGTCAAAATTTTTACTCAAGGTGTGCAAAAGTTGGGAGAACAGGTATGCAAAATTTGGCGGCGCTACGCGCCGCCGTTTTCTCGCGATTTGCGAAAAACCACAGGGGGGGGGGGTTGAAAACAACCCCCCCCTGCAGTGCGCGTGTTATAGCTTGGGAACTAAGGGGGATAACATTTTGCACACTCGCCTCAGGCTTGGTATGTCCAGCTTAAACTCTCATTTGTTTCAAATAAATTCATCTTTGGTAGATTCACCATATTGCAAATGCAATTCCCTCACAGAATCAGTACACCATTATTTCTTGTCTTGTCCGCAGTACGCACAAAAAAGGGAAGAGCTTGAAGCATCGTTAAGACATTTAATAAATAATTACCATACGCTTAACTCAAAAGATAAATTAACTATTATACTTCATGGTCCTGGAAAAAACAGTAGCCTGTGTGTGGCTGTGGCTGCTTCGGTACAAAAGTATATCAGGGAAACCAAGCGCTTTGAGTCTTAAATATGAGATACTGTAAAGAAATATGATTTGTTAAAGGTAGGAAAGCCACGGAAAAGTGATATGTGATGTGGGGTGTTTGTTGTAAGTTCTCATGGACCAGGGTGAATGATGTACCTCGACTTAAGCACGTAAGTGCTTTTGTACTAATTCATACATGCGTCTGGATGTTCAAATACATGTGATTGATTGATTGAAAAAAAAGTGTCCTGTTGAACTATGATGATCATTTTAGCAGCCACATTTCCCCCTGTTCGCTCTCACACCGCCCTCGGTCCCCGTCCGGCAGCGGGCTGCGCGCTGTACCACACCTGGGAGGCGGTGGTGGTCGGCATCGTGGGCGGCATGCTGGCCGTCGTCACTATGCCGCTGGTGGACCGGCTGAAGATTGACGACCCGGTGGGCGCCGTCTCGGTGCACGGCGTCGGCGGCCTCTGGGGAGTGCTCGCAATCGGCCTGTTCGTCGACGCCGACAGCCTCGAGAAGATCACCAACGGACGCGCCGGACTCTTCAAAGGTGCGGGCGACGCGGACGGGATTTCCTCTGCAGTTAAGATTCTTTTATCAAACAGAAGTCCATGAGACGTGTGTTTCAATTGCCAAAAGTCTCCTTTCTCTGATCTCTCTGCCACTAAGTCTACCGCTGCTGTTTGCAGGCGGTGGGTGGCACCTGCTCGGTGTCCAGACACTATGCTGCGTCTGCATCATCATCTGGTCGGCGGTCGTCACGTTCATCCTGCTCTTCCTCATCAACAAGGTGAAGCCGATCCGGATGAGCGCGCACGAGGAGCTGCTGGGCGCCGATCTGGTGGAGCACGGTATCCGGCACCAGGGCCTGGGCCTGTCGCGCACCGTGTCGGCGCTGCGCCGCCACTCGCAGATCGACCCCAAGCTGGTCACCGAGCTGCCGCCAGAGGTCGGCTCCAACCTCGGTAGGTTCAACCGCAAAAATAGCAGAGGCTGACCCGGATATATATCGATAGGTGACCCACAGATATACCGGTGGCTGATCGCAAGAGGCTTCCACAGACGACTAGCTGATTCCCAGACAAGTTAACCATTCTTTGATAACTTCTTAGGGGCTGGATCAAACAGTTGTCTAGAATCCCAAGCGAATGCGATTTAGATCCCTGGTGTTGAGCATGCTGGCGATATCCTGAGTGAAGCATTTCCACGACTGTCTTGTTCCGAATCCGAATATGGTGCAGTCGGCGATCCAGTCGATAACGTAAATAATAAGGGGTAGACGTCTCCAGTGCCATCGCCATTTTTGATGCATTGCCCCCAATAGCACGGTATCATAGTTCGGACACGCATTATCCCCACTATGGGCAGCAGCGATGTCTCAGTTTTCTATTGACCACGACGTACATACATACTTACGCATACCCGTAAGATTCATGCTCATTCGAATATCGAATTAGACGAGCCTAATGTGGCTTGGATACGACTGACCATAAAATACTTCAGTCATCCAAGTGCCGACGTAACTGGCGAGTGATTTCTGTGATCGATGCGACCCGCCATACGAACGGCCCATTAGTATCACGTAACGGGAGCGTGGAGTCCTCTGGGCGATATTTTTACAAATCAATGTCGTTTGACCCTCATGGAATCGATGCCGGTGATGAACGGTGGGACTCGTAGACGCCTTATTTCCCCGGGGTTTCACAGAGTTTATCGCCAGATCGACAGCGCGTCAGAGCTCATTGGGAATGCCGATAGCGTACTCCAAGAGCCCATTAACCGTTTATGGAACGTCGTAAATGAGGAGATAAAGCATTTCACTAATGATCTAATCTACGCACTCATAACAATAAATCTTGCGAAAATATCTACCTAAATATATGCGTTGTGATGCCTGAATCTGCCAGCGTACGAAGGGTGTCGGGGCTATCGTTCCTGGCAGCACCATGTTAGTTGTGTTCCGTGGTTTAGTTTCCATCGCCTGACCTGTGGTGGGTCACCGTGTGACAGGTCACATGTCAATGCTGAAGAAGCTGCGCCAGCGGCTGTCGCAGAGCCAGCGGTCGGTGGTTGAGGTGACGCCCATTACGCCGGCACCCCGCAGCGCGTACGGAGCTCGAGACAGTTCGGCAGGTGAGAGACCGAGCGTGAGAGACAGAGTTTTCAGTTTACATCACCCGAATATTCTCATCACATGCTACATGCTGGTCATTGGTTAGCATAGATGACTTAGACGGTGGGTACCAACTATTTGGCCGGCTATTATTTTTAAATAACAAAACTGTTCAAATAAAATAGTCCATAAAAATAAATGAAATTATCATAGATTCATGCCCTGGATGACTTCTATCTTTAACCCTTTATCACTTCTTCACAATGAAAACTTCGGATTATTATCCGAATTTACGTATGTACAGGTCTCGCGAGATTAAGCGGTAGGTTTTCCACTTTTACATTTCCGGTTATATCTCAGAAACTAATCGATCTACGATGAAGCCATTTTACACGATCATGGCCGGCTTGTTACCCAACAAGTCGATCGCATCTTCAAAGCTTAAGACGACGAAGATATAGCCTGAAGTACACTAAATTTTCTAGGTGCAAAACCTACCGCTAAAACCCGCGAGACCTGTACGTCTGCTATTTCAAATGCGTGTTCTAAAAACGTAAAAACGCTTCCTGCTCTCACAGGTTTGCCAACGAAGGAGCTGATCAACGAAACATCGCCGAAAGCTTCGAAAGAGCGGCCTAAGAAGAGCAGTGCAGTCGCTTGGATCAACTTTGACGAACACTTGGATGGCATGCAACCATAGTTTTAAAGACAGCTGCAATCAAATGTGGAATGTAATAAATGTGGTGATCCAACGCTTTTAACATGTCCATTGTCCGTGTGTCTCTGTCAGTCTGACTCTCTGTCTCTCTCCCTGTCTCCTTGTCTGTCTTGTCTGTCTGTCTGTCTGTCTGTCTGTCTGTCTGTCTGTCTGTCTGTCTGTCTGTCTGTCTGTCTGTCTGTCTGTCTGTCTGTCTGTCTGTCTGTCTGTCTGTCTGTCTGTCTGTCTGTCTCTCTCTCTCTCTCTTTCCCTCTCTCTCCCTCTCTCTCTCTCTCTCTCTCTCTCTCTCTCTCTCTCTCTCTCTCTCTCTCTTTTCCATTCCCTGTAATTTGTTTCATTTATAGGGACTGAGAATATATGAACCGTACAATTGTGCGCACAATGGCGAAACATTATGTAACGTAACAGGCGATCAGCTTCGTTGGTGAATGACCTCAAGTTCAACAGCCCGTATCTCAAGCTAGACAATTGTTATCATTTATTGCCCGTTTGTCATCTGGTTGTGAATCAACAATGTCTGTAATGGCACGTCGGATCCAGGTCTGTCTCAGAAGTCCAGAAGCATTGAGCTGGAGTTGCACCTTTAGACTTAAGGAGTCACCTTAGGTTTAGATGTTGCAAGATTATATTTGCATGTTTAGGTGCGTACTGCGTACCTATTACATGAGTTGCAATAGATAGGACTGAGTATGGATTGTATAATGTGCGCTGTGCAGGTGTGGTATGCAGGCTGTTTACTGCATTTCCTTCATTGTACATACCGTCACACTCACACCATATTGCTGTCAGTGTGTACTCAGTGTCGTCAACCCGTCATTGGACAAATGATGAAGGTGACGACAACACGATACACACTGTCGACATATCGGCCACTATTTTTTTTTTTTTCAGTGAAGATCTTTCAATAATTTATTGGTTTTGATATGATGAGATGCATTCAAGGAGTTGGCTAACAAGTGACATGTCGTATGATATTTGCTTTATTTTGATTTTCGATAAATAAAGCCATTAAGTACCTACCTAACCCCAGTTTGAATATCGTGTCCAATTTACTAGCGGTCTCTTATGCTGGACAATGAAACTCCCAGTCCTACCGCTTACATAGCTACATTTTATTTTTTATTATTCATTATTTTTAAGGATGTACTTATGATGTGGGTATCTTGGCCTCTGGCCTCTGGGTGACCGCCACGTTACGTGATAGGCATGTCAAATCTCCATTGCACAATGAACAAAATAAGTTTTGTCTAATTTGTTTCACTACAATAAAATAACTCGGCAGTTACTGGACCGATTGGGCTGAAATATGTAGTGCTCTCGACGGCCACTCACCCAGTGACTCAATGACATATGGGCCGCAGTTAGGTTCCACTGCACGTGCGAATACTTGCGCGGACTGTTTGCTTGTGCATGACAACAACCAACAGCTCTTTGGTAAGGTTGTGCAAATTGTAGGTACTGCAGCTGTGTGCTTGCTATTCTTTCTGTAATTTAATTTAAGGGCGTCCCACATTAACCCGCGCCCCGTAGGGCTATTGGCGGACCGTACCACCCGTAGGGGGGGGGGGGCGTTTTGGCCCCCCCCCCTAAGATCTCGGAAATTTACCGGCCGATTTTCGAAATTCAAACAGCGTTCGATAGCCCCAGCGGGGAACTACCTTGTGACCAAATTTCATTGACCTAGGTCAAACCGATGACGTCACAGGTCTGGTCAAAGGTCGGATTTTCACCGTCCACAGGCATTTCAAGGAATGTGTTGTGACATCGAGTAAATTGGTAAGTTATTGAAAATAATCGATGGTACATTGTTCGCCAAAAACACATACTTTGCTAGCTGAGGTCACTGAAGTGATACCAGGTCAGGTCACAGAGATCAGGTCACTGGGAGTCACAATAAGAAATTGTCGTGTGATGCATGTTCCGCGTCCATTTTACATGACAAATGCGATTATGTGGGTCAGGCAGCCTTTGGGGCCAGCTTAGGTTACGTTCTGGTGAAGGTCAGCTCAAGGTCAGGTCAAATTAGGTCAAATAAAGTTGATATTTTTGTATAAAATGGGTATCGATTCGATGCAGCTCGTCACGGGGAGTCTAATGGTGTTCTTTGTTTTGCGCTACGAGGTCTAGAATTGCCAAAAATTGAGTTTGAAAATTTGACGTCATCATTTTTCAACAGTTTTTTTTTTTCGCTATAACTTGGCCAAAAAAAAGATATCAATCTGAAATTTGGTATGTAAATAGAAGACGGTAGGTACCTACTATCATATCATATATATTCCGGTTTTTTGAAACTCAAAAACTTTTTGGATTTTTTGCTAATATATCCAAAAAATTACTTTTTTGATTTTTGGGGGACAAAATTCAAAATTTTCAAAAATCCGAGATGGCAGTTTTGTAATCCTGTCAATTCTACACCTTTTGTGTCTTGATCTTTTTTTGTATTGTCAAAGCTGTAGGCCTGACAGCTCTTCTCGCGAAGCTCTTTTAAAATGGCAGAACATGACGTCATTCTGACGTCATTTGTGGCCAACCTATCATAGCCTATGGTAATTTTTTGGTCACAATGTGTAAAATTGATGCCCGGAGGGGTCCTGAAAGTTTGGTGGCGATATGTGCAGCCGTTTAGGAGATATCGAGGGAAAAGGACAGGGGCGCGTTTTGCCCCCCCCCCCCCCCTACGGGGCGCGGGTTAAGCGATAACTTTAGCGCTAGGTAAGTATACATTTATGCACTCTAAAAGCATATACACCGACTCGCTTTACGCTTCACGCTACCTCGCAGAGATGCGTGGATGCGTCGCAGAGACACGTCACGCGTGCACATTTTGGGCCAAGAAGAGTTTTCGGGACGCCAAGCCAAGCCAAGGCCCGTCGACACTTAAAATTGCATGCGTCCGTCGCTTGACGTAGGTACACAACTGATGACGTCCTATATTTGTGACGGAGGTAAAGCTCTGACGGTACCGATAACGGTCTTATCGTTAGACTTGTGCCGACTTCATGTGACTAATGGAAAGTGCACACTACACAGTACACACATACCCACTTCACGGCTACAACTATTATCAGCAAGGCGTCTCATCTCAGGGAACACAATCTTGTCTGCTCCAAGCTCTGCTGCACTCGCAATTATAGGCGATGAGAGTTCAGGGATGTTCAGAGATATCAGGGACGAGAGTTCGTTCAAAGTTACGTGACTGACGAGGCATGCTTTTGATCATCTGTTAACTCATTACGCACCCGGAACATAGGCGGCGGAACAGGGAGGGCACCGGGGCATCGTGCCCCCCTTTGATTTTGGCATTTTAACATTAGCCTATGGGCGTTGCATGGAAAGAATGGGACCAAAAGTCGGTAGTGCCCACGGGTGGAGAATTGTGCTGGACTGGGGGTGCTCGAGCTCTCCCAATTCCACGCCGGCCACGCCGGCTTGGCTTTGGAGCCGCGGCCGGGCGGCGCGGGTCAAGGTCACCGCTAGGCGGCGGCGGATTTGCTGCGCCCGAGCACCCCCAGCTGGTCACAATTCTCCACCTATGGTAGTGCCCCCCTTTGATTGAAGGTGTTCCGCCGCTACTGACCCGGAATGAATAAAGACGGGACTTGCGGAGGACGGAAGGCGGCCGCGAGGTTGTGTACGGAGAACCGATGAGAGTTCAGGAAAGAAGTCCTAGCTGCAACGGCGGTGGGAGACGGACAAAGGGAGACGGGACGGGAAACATCGGGCACCATCCCGTGGACAGGCCACCAAGCCACAGCGGCACGGTACGAGCCAGCCGCAATCGCTGAGTTGATTGTTTGAGCTCAGCGTTATAACGGCACTCATATCGTTCTGAAGGCCAACGGCCGAACTATTTTCCCGTGCACATATTTACAAATCACTTCCTGAGGGCGCAGTGGAAACCATGGCATTGGAGACGCGTGACGACTTAGGTGACATTCGTACTTTAGAAGCCCCTGTAACAGTGTTTACGGAATCGTCCATAGTGCTTTTGCGTTGCTCTTCTCCCAGCGAGAGGGAATATGTGCCGTCATCTTTTGCTTTCAATAAGCCCCAATATCATTATGCGAGACAGTGGGAGTTCATTTTACGGAAAGTGGATTGGTAAACGCCGGTGGATACCAGAATTTTACATTTATGTTTAGCTAGCGGGCGCCAGGGTGGTCTGAGCGTAACACCAGCTGCAACATTGCAACATCGAGACGAGAGGGGGCGCTTCACGGCTTCACGCCCTCCGCCTCCTAGCTCGGCCCCTGGGTGACGTAGCGACAAACGGTGAGCGGCGTTCGAAAGATCATCATTAACGAAGAAAGTACTTGGCTTATTTAAGGTGAGCTCAAAAGTCAAGTTACTTGAGGTCACTGAAGGCAAATTTTCCTAACTGACGTTCTAAGAAAAAAAATCAGCTAGTAAGTAACTCATGATCTACAGAAGGCCGTGCCGGCGTTCTAAGCTTAAACAGTCTACACGAGTATCGAGGGCGGCAGCACTTCAGCGAACGGGCCCACTTGAGCGGATAGTGGGGACGGCGTCACATGCGAGCCATGAGTGCGCACACACCGTCACTGGCCTCGCACCGCTGCGTGGGTGTCCCTCCGATCGGTCGGTGCCGCCCGAGGAGGCGGGGGTGGGCGGTGACCCGGTCGGCCCGATAGCGGACGGAAGATAAAGGCGCGCTGCGGACGCCGGCCATCAGTCGCAGTGGTGACGCGGCAGTGCGCAGCCATGGCCGCCAAGGGAGCCGAGTACGACAACCCGATGCTGGAGGGCGGGATGGGCTCCTCGCACGACTCGACCCGGCGGCCACAGCAGCAGCAGCAGCAGCGCTACGATGTCGTGATCGGGGCAGAGAGCAGCGAGGCCTCGCTCGACTGTTTCTCAGTTCTGCTGATCGCGCTCTCCTATCTCCTCTTCATCATCACTTCACCCATCACCATCTGGACCTGCATCAAGATCGTCACCGAGTACGAGCGGGCAGTCATCTTCCGTCTGGGCCGGCTGCGCGGCGGCGGCGGCGCCGTCGGGCCCGGCTGGTTCTTCGTGCTGCCCTGCATCGACACGTACATGAAGGTGGACCTGCGCAGCGTCTCGTTTGACGTGCCGCCGCAGGAGATTCTCACCAAGGACTCGGTCACGGTCGCTGTCGACGCCGTCGTCTACTACCGCGTCTCGAGCCCGGCCGTGGCCGTCGCCAATGTCGAGGACTTCGCGCGCAACACGCGGCTGCTGGCCGCCACCACGCTGAGGAATGCTCTGGGCACGCGCACCCTGGCGGAGATCCTGTCTCAGCGCGAGGAGGTGTCCACCCACATGCAGGAGACCCTGGACGAGGCCACCGACCCGTGGGGCGTCAAGGTGGAGCGGGTCGAGATCAAGGACGTGCGCCTGCCGATGCAGCTGCAGCGCGCCATGGCCGCCGAGGCCGAGGCGGCCCGCGAGGCCAAGGCCAAGGTGATCGCCGCCGAGGGAGAGAACCGGGCGTCGCGCGCGCTGAAGGAGGCTGCAGACGTGATGGCCGACAGCCCGTGCGCGCTCCAGCTGCGCTACCTGCAGACGCTCAACACCATCTCTGCCGAGAAGAACTCGACGATCGTGTTCCCGCTACCGATGGACATCATTGGCCCGATGCTGAACCGCTCCAGCTAGTTGGCTTCGAGAGGTAGATGGAGAGTACAGTCCACAAATGTTGACGGCTGGGTAGGAGCCGGGGATGTCACTGTGCTTCCTCGCCACCACGGCTCTGCCATGGCGCGGTTAGCTGCTGAAGCGTCTATCCGGACTCGGCAACACTGTTTGTGACGGTATGTGTGATAGTCACACTTGAATACTGCCTCTAATTCCTCTGTTTCTTGAAGATAATGTCAATCTCGATTATGCGAATCGCTTACATCAGTAACAATGTGCTGTGTAGGCAGGGCATATTTTAAGGATTTTTCACTGCGTCCCAAAGGTGGCATAGGGCACACGCTTTGATCGGAAAGGGCACATTGCAAGCGAAATAGTATATAATGCAAGTAAGATAATGTACAGATACATTGTGTACTGTGCTGGTGGAGGGGCACTGCAAACGGGATATTGGAAGCGGGCTGTGATTGCTTTTGGCCAGTCTCGAAATTCGCCCAGTCGTAGTGCGTTCTTTATCCGCATTCAAAGGGCGGACCGGCGATTTATATGACATTTACATTATTGTTAGTCACTCGTTTTCCTGAACGGCGTTGGGCGTGTTTGACCTTCCTTGACGCACCAAATTGTACCTATGCTTAGAGAATAAAAATGAATATGCACATGATTAAAATGTGATACATACGTCTCTTCATGCGTTTTTCACCCTTATCAATCGATTCAAAATAGAGGTTGACGTGTGAAACATTGCCAATTTGCATTGAAGATACTATGTGTTAGAAATAATTAGATGACGTAAGGTCAAACAGTACCCACCTATAAGTTGTGACAAGAAATCATCGGATTTTAAAGCTACATAAAAAATCCATCATAGATTAATGCTTTGGATGAACGGATGCTTTGGATGCTTCGGATTTCGCTTCCTTACTGCCTATCATGTAATATAACCCAAACTTTTCCCAATGGAAGTTCCTTTGTTTAATTATTATGCCCAGAAATGTGTCGATTTTGTGCCATTTCCGGGCGCTTTGGGGGGGGGGGGAGCATGGCCCTGTGACCCCCTCTATATTCTCCTATGGCCAGACCGCCATGACGGCCCCATGATCTGACCGTATGCCATCAAATGTCAAACTTCGCAATGATGCGATATTTTTTTCGGAAAACGTGCCGGTATCTTAAAAACTATGATAGCTAGGAGGGCGCAATCGATAGTAGAAAAGCAATCGATATATCTTGAACAGCTCTTTCGTCAATATTTCGTCAGAATTGAGTTCAGATCAACGGTTAAGGCTCCATAGCCAAAAACGGGTAAAATTACAATTTTTGTCAATATAGGTTTCATGAAAAGCTTTTGAACTAAAAAAGGTAGAGAATTTTCGTTTGCACGATCGTTCTTTTCTCATTTTTACCTCGAAATATCAAGGTCAGAACTTGACCTCACAGGTCATTTCGTGACCAAGATAAATCATGTCGCATATCAGTCGATGCGTTTCGATGAGGTACCTCAAAACAATGATACAATCCACTGTGCATGCAAAAGCCCTGTAGGGCCGGATTTTGGGCCAGGCTCCGGGCCTGCGGGCTCCAACTTGACATCTCTAAACAGGACTTTAGGGAAGGGCAGGACACAGAGTCTGAGCCCTAAGGACAGGGCAGGCACAGGCCATGAAGCTAAGATAAGACGGATACTTGAGGGCTGGGTAGGATGCAGGGTCCGAGGGCAAGGCAAGGCGCGGGTCTGAGGCTATCATTACACAAGGCCGGAGAGTAGTGCAAGACACAGGGCCTTAGAACACCTGATGATCAACACACCTGATGGCAGGGCAACACGCAGGATCTTAAAGCAGGGCAAGAATAGTACCTAAAGGAAGAGCAAGACATAAGACGCAGGTATGGCACAAGGCCCAAAACACCGCCCACGTCTTGTCATACCTTCGGGCCAGCACGGGTTCTGAGGACAGGTAAGGGCACGGGGCATGAGGACGGGAAATGGCACGGGACCTGAGGGCGGGAGACACCACAGGGTCTGATAGCAGGGCAGGGCACAGCGCCTGAGAGCGGGCATGGGACACGAGACCTTAGGGCAATGCAGAATACAGGGCTTGAGGGCAGAGTAGGACACAGGGTCTGATGGCATGGGACGGCACAAGGCCTGACGACAGGGCAGAGCACAGCAACTTAGGGCGAGGCAGGGCACGGGCCTGAGGGCGATACAACGCATAAGGCTTAATGGCAGAATAGGGCACAGGGTCTAAGGGCAGGGCAATGCACATGAGGCCTGGAAGCAGAATATGACAGGACAGGGCCTGAGGCAAGGCAAGGCATCAGGCTTGAGGAAGGGCGCGGGGCCGGGGCATGAGGACATGGGAAGGCACAAGGCCTGATGGCAGGGCAGGGCACAGTACCTGAAGACAAGGCAGCGGCACGGGGTCTGATGGCAGGACGTGTCACAAGGCTTGAGGGCAGAGAAGGGCAGGGGCCCCAAACTAGGGTAGGGCAGGGCACGGGGCCAAAAGACGGGAAGGCAGCGCATCAAATTTCCAGGCAGAATATATAAAGTATCGTGTTTGAGGGCAGGGCAGAGCGGGGCACAGGGCCTGAATGCAGAGCAGGGCACAGGGCCTGAAGAAAGGGCAGGGCAAGGTACAAGACCTAAGGACAGGGCACTGGGCAGGGCACATATCCTAGGGGTATAGTAGGGAAGAACATAATAAGGTGTATGACCAAGGGTAGGGCAGGGCACAAGGACTGGAGAGGGCATGTATGTGCTTAGGTACATAGTAAATCAGGGCACAAAGCGATCGGAAAGCCAACATCTTTTACACAGTAAAAGACCGAGTCATGTTACTTATTTTTGCTCGCACTTTTCGGCTGAAACCGTGGCATTTCAGTGTGGGACGCAGTGGTCCAAATTTCGCGAGGGCTACGTCCCAAAGGCAGGGGGCTGCGTCCCAAAATGGGACGCAGTCAGTATGTTAAAATATGCCCTGTGTGTAGGTATGTCTACAATGTAGGTACATTGCACGGTCCTATATGTTGAATAACGTGACCTGATGTTGCTCAGCGAAGACATATGGTCCTGTGTTGTTTTAAACAAATAAAAGTCCACATCAATGACGAGCGTCTGTACTTTTGTGCTGGTTCATCTTTGCCGGCCTGGTAGAGGAGAGTGGGGAGGTAACGCCTACTGATGTTGCTTTCCATGTTTATGGTAATCCGTGACATGGATCGGTTACCGCGCATCGTTTTTGCATTTCGTGTAGAAATTTCAAGATCAGGTCATTACACGTTTAGACAACTGGCCAAATTAACTAGTTTTGCATCCACAAATGGCTGCGGTTTTAATTATCCTACGACCGAGATCATCACCAAACATATTTCAAACATTGTACCTTCAAACGCAGCTTGTACGAAGTGGTCACTGCCACCAATCCGTACGCCTCGGGTTGTTTCTGTGTGACCTAAATAGGTTCGAGTTTCAAACTTTGATTGTGCTGCTAACAAACCCTTATCCAGCGCAATCTTTCCTCGAATTCCTTATGTAACAAAACTGCGACGGTACCGATGACCTCGTGAAATGGAAGAGTCATCAGGTGATTTTGAGGGTACGCCACCTACACGTTCTGGCACCTGAAGGCGCCACAGCGACATCTGTATGTCTGCCCACGCCAGGCTCCACACGGACCACACAATGACAGGAGACTGGTGACTAGGACCTGCGGGGTGTTCTGTCCCGAAAATAATGGGATGAAAATTATCTATCTCTGCATGCTTCTTTAGCTCAGATACCGAGAAGTATCATGAGCAAAGCAACTGACTTTCATATGATGTATAGCAAGTCATGTATTGTCGTCAGGGCCTTGACAGATGAAGGGAGCCTGTTTTAGTCAGACAAATGGGTTAAGACCACAAACAAAAAATAAACGGTGTTTAAGAACCACTGCTTGACATATGCATATTTGTAGAATGCATCACCTGTATACCACCGCACTCTCTACTTGACTTGCATTGCAAGCCACTGCCATACTTCAAGAAGCTATGAGGGATAAAGGCAGCGTATAACTTCATAAAACGAGAGAAACATGACCATTCCCGAAAACAGTACCGTTTTCATTACCCCGCCTGCCTCAACAATGGATCGCAATGACTCTTTGAGACCAAATACTGATTCTCATTTGTCAACTGGTGCGTCAGTGATAGCTGAGGACACTGGAAATCAGTACAACAAAATCACAGCTGAGCGAACGCCAATTCTGCACATCTCACAACACCAGAAGCAAATATACCTGACCCTCATGGACACAGTCACATTAGCATTACATATGTGGCGTTCAATGCCACTCCTAATTCCTGGAGCTTGTAAGCGTGATCGGACTAAAACCTGCGCTCAACCAAGCCACAGGAATCGACACTGACTTAATTGCCCAACCAATAACAGGGGTGTCTACAGGCTGAGATGACTTATGAGAGATCAGTCATGTTCACCACCTGCCCACCCTGATCAGTCGAACAGTCACCTTTCAGCCCTGGTCAGACGCCGCAGGGGCCACATCACCCTGAGTCGTCACACTAACCTCCGAAGGCGCGCGAGACGGCCACGGCCAGCGCGGCGCCACACACCACGCCGACGGTGGCCAGCGCGGCCGAGGCGTGCATGAGCCGCCGCTCGACGCGCCGCTCGTGCTCCATGAGCAGCAGCTGGACCGACTCGGAGTCGGCGCCGCCGGCGGCCGCCTGCTGCCAGCCGGCGGTCAGCTCGCGCCGCAGGCCGGCCTGCTGCTGCTCCAGCCGCTCCAGCTGGGCAGACACCTCGGCGGCGAACCGCTCGCCGAGCTGCAGCGGCAGCCTGCCGGCGCTGCCGTCCGCGCCGTGACTGATGGCCGACAGCGGCAGAGAGCTGAACAGCGCCTGGCGGGGAGGGACGGTCAGCGGGAGCCAGGGGCGGCGGGGACGGACGGTCAGCAGGAGCCAGGGGGCGGCGGGGAGGGACGGTCAGCGGGAGCCAGGGGCGGCGGGGACGGACGGTCAGAGGGAGCCAGGGGGCGGCGGGGAGGGTAACAACGACTCTGAACCGCAGCGAGAACAGCATTCAGAACATCGAGAGAGTGACAGCCACATCAGGGCAATGACGACAAACAAAACAGATGTTTACGAATAACATGTTTGAGAATCACGTCATAAAATAATTGTAACGCTCTGAACAGGAAGCGCGTTCAGAACGAGCATCGTCAAAGTCTATCCCAATGTAATTCACGATCAGCCGCTTACCTCGATGGAATGCATCGCCTTTTTGACCTCGTTCTGCTGGTGTTCCACCGACGAGGTCAGCACAGCCACATCCTCCTGCAGTTTGACGGGCACCTCGGCCGACGAGGAAGCTATGCTGCGCAGTTCGCGCATGCGCAGCCAGTTGTTAATGGACGTGCCGACGATGCCGATAAAGGCGCCGATTGCCGATCCGATGATGGACCAGTATTTGGTTTTCTCGGCCTGCGCGCGCTCCTTCTCGTGGGAGGTGCGCACTGCGTTGGAGAGGGCCGAGAACAGCTCCTGTTCAGCCTTCTCCAGCAGCTTGTACTCGCTGCTCAGACGGCTCTCCTCGCGGAGAACCCGGTGCTCCTGCAACCAGAGTCACAAGTTGAGCGATCTAATACATACCACGGTTGCATATTTCACTCCTTTGAATTGTTTGCAGTTCATCATGAGACAATGTGATAAAGGAAATAATCCATAGGTAGTTTCTTAGCATCTGGTACTTAACTTCATATTGAACAAACTGAATGACAGTTGTTACAACAAACCTCAGTGACAAGGGCCAAATATCGATCCTCTCCTCTGCTTGTTTTAGCTATTTCAGCATGTAGATCTTTGAGTTTTGCTTGAATGTGATTCATGTGAATCTGGTGCTCTCTTCTCTGTGCCTGAGCCCTGAGAAACAATTCTTCTGCCTGAAATATATAAAATGATTATGATATTATGCACAAAAAAGTGATAACCCTGAGTTCATTGAGCAAAATAGAGTCGCATATGAAACGTGACAAGGTGACAACCATCAACACATCAACTGGTTAACTCAAAATACATAATAACTCTACAAAAATGAAGCCTTTCAGTCAATTAAATGCTTCTTTTACCTACAACATTATTTCTTTCAAATGCACTTTATAGTAAAAACTTTTGCTCAAGTTCTCCTTTTAAAGCTTTGGAATAGCACATACCTCAATGACTCTATTCTGAGCAGCAGTTACTTCTGCGATTCCAATGTACTGTTCGTATGACTTCATTAGTGACCCAAATTTGTCCTTGAGGCCTTCCACATGGACTGAGCTTGAGCTCAGCCTGGAATGTGCTTTGCATAACGTAACCCCCTTCTGAAGATTGCTGCATGCATATCTTGCGAGGGTGCTTGTAATCATCTTCTACTGAAAATATCTTCTTTGAAATTATGTTCAACTTCTTGCCATTCCACACAACTTAGTCTGAAAATGAGAATACAAGAACAATAGGAATGGCACCCCTTATTACAATGTCCAAAAGAACCTACCTGGTTAGCGAATAAAATGTGCATTGTGTAATGACATGTTGAACACTTATAACACCACATGACCTCTATGACCTCCCATATGACCTCTATGACTGCTAAGTGACCTCTCTGATGACCCCAAGCTGACCTAAATAAGGTACATTTTTAAGGTATTTAATTTTCCCTTTCATGCCAAATGGCTTTAATTAAAAAATAGACCCAAGTAAAAACGATTACCTGAATATTTAAGTACATCTCATGCTCATTGCACAAGCACAACTCTGATGAAGACATTGACCTGAAAGGCTAATTAAATTTTGCTCGATTATTTCCTGTGGCAAGTTTTAACAACCGATAAAATTCAGGCTGTCACATTTCTATTTTCTAAAGCTTCAAAGAGGTTTCAGTTTCAAAGAGGTTTCATGAACCAGAAAAAATAATCAATGAATTATGTAGAAGCATATGAGTTGGGCTGGCTGTTACTATTTTACATCAGTGGTTATTTGTGGAATGTCTCATGGAATTCAGGGGTGACTTTTCACCTCAGACAAAGGTCCCCAGCCAGCAATTTTGCTGTTGATAAAATTAGCCTTTGAGTCTGTTCCCATGGTTAACCTAAAAAATATCCATTGACATTAGATGAGCTTCAAGGAAAGCTGTTTAAGAGCAGCCATGAAAACATTTCTGTGAAGAAATCAGCTGTTTGCCAGTTGTAACAGTTGATGATTCATGGTGCACCAATCATAATTTTGAGACAAGCTTAGCTTTAAAAAAACCTTGCATACATGCTAGAAATACCTATTTTAAAATACTTCAATCTTCTCAATGGCTACAATTATTTACATGCTGCCCAACCCAATAGGTACTTATAAATAAACTCATAGGTTTACATGCACCAATAATGTCTACACCAGAGCTTCATCCAAAAATTAACTTTCATTCAGGAATTACAATGAGAAAGGTGGGAGGAAGAGATAAGTGATGGCGAGATGTGAAATAAGGATGAGCTTAGAGGAAGAGGAGTTTTGATGAGTGATTGGAACAATTTTTAAACAAGAGGTGGTTAGAACTTAGAAGATTTTTTTTTAATTTAGTCCAAACCTTATGATGGGAAGGATTCACAAGGACAGAGCCACCACCAAGCAAAGCTTGTTGCGATCACCCTGCCCTCTACCCTGCAATCGCGCAATTCCGATTCTATGGCAGAATTTAGAGTCCAAAGTTTAACGTGCGCACAAAGCCGTGCACGGCCGGTCCCCTCGCTGACTTCGCCTGGCTAAGTACGGCCTGCCACCAACCGCAACCATACCTGTCAGGAGGCCCATAAATGTCAAGCGCCCGTCACGCTTCGAACCCGGATAGTCATAAACGGGAACGCGTGCTCTCACCACGCGGAGTCCAACGCTCTAACCAACTGAGCTATGGGACCGGCTAAGATAAGAGGAAGTTGGAGTGGTTGAAGCAACAACTGAAACAGACCTTTTGACAATTAAAAATAAACATATATTAGACAGCCCTGAATCCTGATAATGGTGTGATGAGGTAAAAGATGGCAGATTTAAGCTCTGATGACAGGATGAGGAGTGACTGTATGCATCTTATTTTTCTCTCGCCTGAAAATGAAATATTTTGCAGCACAATCACAATGCCATTATAACATCAATAATGTCAATGTGTTGCCTTAGTCTTATGTCTTTCCAGCACATCTTAGCTGAATCAGAATAAGAATACTAGACCTTACAAGATCTTGTGTCTTGGAATCTTTGTTCAAAGCAAGCAACCACACCTGGCAAAACAAAATTCTTGCATTTCATGGAGAAAATATCTACAACGCAAATAGCTGTTGTTGTTTTGGGTTAGGGCACGTACACCGTAAATTAGCGAATAATGAGAGCTATAAAGACTTGGAATAATGCATAATGCAAATGCAAAGGAAAAATGAGAGTTCAGTGGAAAAATGGCACGAAAACGGTACGTCTCAGGTGCGTCATTTTTGGCTAAAAATATCTCTGATCTCGGTGCTTTGTTTTATTCAATTTTGATGACGTTTAAACAAGATAATTTGAATATTTGTTACAAACAAAAGTAGTAATCAAAAATAAACTTCTTTATGCCTTGTGTATTTTCCTAAGTATTGATTGCAAAAAAATAAACAAAAAAATTGAAAAAGTAAGCTAACAACATTACATTAAGTCGTAAGAAAATACCTTGTGAATGGAATCTTCCATGTAGTTCGTCTACCCTACTTTGCGTCCTTTGCGTTTGGTACTGTTGTGTGGCCTTGGAAATTCGCAGTCGTCGTCGGGTCGTCGTGGTGGTTGAGTGTGTATGGTGTTGTGTGTGTGTGTTTGCGCTCAGGCCGCACTGGCGTTTCCTTTCCAAGCTTACCATTTGCCATAAGAGTGTTTTACTTCGCTGGGACCGTTTTCTGCGTTACTCTTTTGATTTGCAATCACACATCTCATCCCTCTGAAGATGGATCCAGAGGCGTTCCTAGATCTTGCGAATCAAGTTACCAAGCTTAACCCGTTCCCGTATTTCGACATTGCACACTGTGCAATCACCTGCTTCTATGTCAGGGAAGACATTGGATCAGGTGAGTCGATTGACAGTCGATGCCACGTCAGGGCAGGGTGTCAGGGCTGAGGACAACTAGGTTTGGATCAGTCTTCAATCACGGTCACGGTGGCCGCCGCCGCCCGCCGGTCTGCCGGTTACAGCCTTTGAGTTGGGTTTTCCTCAGCCTCAGCCTGGGGTGCTGAGGAAGCAAGCCAAGAGAAGACTAAAGGTACCACTGATGCATGCTTTCATAAATATAAAATAGGGCTCTCCTCTCGTCCGATTTGTGAATTCTGCTGATAGCTGAAGTTGTGAGGCTGAGCCCCTGACCTGACGGTGTGCGACTATCCCGAAACGATCCTGAAAAGTCCCCTGGCTGAAAAGGTGTTTGTAGAGCCCACCGCTAAAGTAATGTGCGGTTTTACCAATCTTGACCTCAACGGATGGCTTTGACTGTCGATTTTTTAATGCGGAGTGATCGAAAGAACACATCAATAGATAAAGTTCAAACTGCAAGATACATGTAAGCTACATGTTCAAAGTCTGGCTAATCATTCCCAAGCTTCAGAAGCAGAACATACCTATGACTGAAGCCGCACATTACTTCTGCTATGGACTGTAAGTACCTATGTGTCGTGTGATTTGGAGACCCGAAAAGTGGCCCTAGTGCGCTATTCCGGGAACATGTTTTTGGCTGGCTACCGAGAAGGCTCGACTGGAAGTACGAAAAGCGCTTTTCCCATTACATTGTCAAAAAGCGTGACTCTGAAGCATGAAGCCTATCCCATTCGATGTGTCCCTTCTGACCCAGTAACCGCCTGTTTCCCATGCCTCCACTGTACCTGTATGGGGTCTCATCCCAACCCGGGTCACGATTCGCCATGGGTAGTCGGCCGAACCTGGTCCCCTCATATCCGACCATGGACAAATCCCTAGCTACTTTGTTTGTTTGTTTGTTTTGTTGGGTTAGGCCCTTTCGGTCTGACAAGACCATTGCAGAGCCGGAAGGATGATAGGAATTAGGGGGAGACATTGGTCTGGGCAGGCACCCTAGTGAGTCGCCGGGGCTGAGCCCGTCCAGAGGACAGGCCACCCAGCCCCAAGGCACTTACTGCACCCGGCTACGGGACGGGGTGCGCTCCCTCAGGAGCAGCGGTGCCGCTCCAAGGGAGCAGCCCGCTTGAGATAAAGTTGCCTGTCCAGTCCGGAGGGGGGTTGCGGCGTGGAGGAGAAGGATTTCAGTATCCTGAGGATAGAAGCACGGAACGGTCCCTAGCTACTGATACGGTGAATGATATATAAAGGTACTAGGTAGATACACAGGTGAATCCAGCCCGACCACCGGGGCCGGTCGAGTGTCCTGTGGAGAAGTCGGCGGCCCTGCTCCGGCGTCAGATCGTCACTATATACCCCTTTCTCTCTCCCTTGCCCTCTCCTGACTCCCGAGTCTCGACACGTGGCACGTCGTCGGTACAGTCGTTCATGCGGCTCGGGGCTTGACAGGTGACAGCCGGCGGCGGCGCCCTACGATCCGAACTGGATGAATACGTTTTTACTTGTTATTTAATAAATGTACAAAGTAAACAATTTTACTCGAATGGACCGTATGATCAAACAATCTGCAGTCAATAGGCCTGTTTCAGGTGTCGGGGACTGTCGCGTTATTTTGGGACGTTGTTGGTTATTGTCGGTTGGTGATTGGGTAGGCCGTGGAGGTTATCGTATCACATTGATCCACTATCCAGTATCGAGTGACCGTCGGCCGTTTGCGGTGCGCTGACGTCCGATGTCAATGTCGGCCGGCGCTGGTGAGGGTGACCCGCTCTCAGTGTGGGGGCGGGCCGCGCTTCCCGCTTCCCTGCGGTCGGCTGGCGTCGCCCCCGTCGCGGCCGTCGCGTCGGCACCGGCACCGGTATACGGCCGGGCCGAGCCAAGAATACCGCCGGCGGCGGCGGTGGCAAATATAGCCGACGGCAGCGGACGGTCGGTGGCCGTTCGGACGCTGCACGGGCGCCGGGCCGACACCGCCGCCCCTGAGCCCGGCCAAACCCCCGGCTGGCGGGAGCCGCGCCCATCTGGCCGTTCCCCGATGGATCCAGGGCGCCGACCTTTCCCAGATGCCCTACTGTTTGCTGTTGGTTGCCGTAATTTGGAGAATCGATATTTTCTGACCTTTTGAGACGTCTAAACGTCTAGCATTCCTCGAACACGCTTACCAAACGTTCAGAACATGTCGACAGACCCTATTTTGCTTGTTGTTTCTTGAAACCGTTTGTTTGTGCTGGAACGTCGTAGCTTTCATGTTTCAGCGACGTGACGTTTTTGCGTCAATCCTAAGGTTTCGGTATTTTTATGCGGTACGAAATGGCGTAAAATTATGTTCATATACCATATGGCTCAAGGAGACCCACCTGCTGCATTTCCACTGTATACCTATTCACAATTCTATGCGTGGCTTGAGTTCATTGGAACCGATTGCTCTGATGACCGCATACAAACTACTTAGGTTATCTTACATCATTACATATATTCATGCATGCACACATAGGTAAGTACGCTCAAGAGTTTCGTTTTTATCACTTGTTTCGGCTGAGAGCTCCCACCCATCTACGAGTAAATGCTATAGTTGGCTGGTGCAGCACGTAGGGCGGTGCGGTGCCCGGGGTAATGGTTTCACTTGGTTTGACTCAATCTATCCGGGCAGCCGACTGCCGTGGTCCGTTTGCGACACGACTTCGTGACTGAAATCACGGTTCGCTGGGGCCATTTCACAGACGCACTTACGCAGTCGTGACCATGACCTCGTTTCATAAAGCGAGTCCGTAACTTACGGCGGTTTTTGGTCTTGTATTGCAAGTGCATGTGAAGCAATGACGTTAGTTTCAATCGTTGAAATTATTTATCTTGCAAGCAAGAACAGAAGAGAGAAGGGGAAATAAATTTATCGCTTCACATGCAGTTACGGACTCGCTTTATGAAACGAGACCCATGTCGCGGAATTACGCCACGCTGGACGAGCCACGGTGACCGGTCAGGTTTGACCTGCCAACAGGGGTCTGGTCGTGCCGTTTGCTCTGTTTTTTTTTAATCGATCAGCTTCGTCGTCTCGGACACCAGGAGATGCTCCCACGGGTTCGGGTCTAGGCTATGTTCCTAATTCGACTGTCCCTGTCAATCCGCACAAACTGCAATGGCGCTCAGGTACACAATAACATGTCAAAATTCTGACTATTTATTCGTAAAGAAAAACTCTAGAAGTTATGTACCGTTTGCACTATATAAGGCAATGACAAATGCCGCAGGTTTTTTTTCGTAGCATTGATTAGTACCTTATCATTAATCATCCATACGAATAATGACATTTCAAAATGTTTCAAGTTCTGATTTCTGAAGCAATTGCCTGTCACTGTCTGAATTTAAAATCTGAGACTCCTTTAGTGCGTTTATTGGCTGATGGCGTGCTTAACTTCGGGCCGTCTGATTGAAACAACGGCGCATGACTGCAAGAATTGTGTCTTTTTGGCTTATCTCTTAATGCCGTAAATGGTCAATCTTGAAAGTAAGGTTTCACAATTTACCTACGGTGACATATTCACGAATCACGACCTTTATAGTCCTTACCTTGACGCAGTGCTTTTTGTGACAATAACTTTGTAGCCTGACCTCGTAACTGTAACGCTTTTCGCTGTGTGACTCGCAAGTCGCATCAAATATTTTTTTTTTGTCTGACCTGTAACACCAGCGGTGATTCATAGGTCACTGATAAAGCTTTTAGCTCCACAAATATGTCAAGTGATGCCGTTGAAATTGTGAAAATCGACCAGTAGCCTTTTGGGGTCTAGAATAACAAAACCATGCGTTAAAGGGACTATCCCACCTTCTAAAATGTTGTTAAAACCAGTTAAATTGTGCCCGACTTTATAGATTGGATGACCAGGAACACGGTTCTGGCATTTATTTTTCATTAAACATCTTAGGCTTCCCATATTCCAAACACAAACTTTCAAATATGTGACGTCACAGCCCAAAATAACCTCCTTCCCCAGGCCACATTACTGTCATAAAGCTGATTCTTTTTACTCTGTAGGCACCACAACAAAGTTCAGACCAAGTTTTAAGCGATTTTTCAACGAACAAACCCATTTAAAGGGACTATCCCACCTTCTAAAATGTTGTTAAAACCAGTTAAATTGTGCCCAACTTTATAGATTGGATGACCAGGAACATGGTTCTGGCATTTATTTTTCATTAAACATCTTAGGCTTCCCATATTCCAAACACAAACTTTCAAATATGTGACGTCACAGCCCAAAATTACCTCCTTCCCCAGGCCACATTACTGTCATAAAGCTGATTCTTTTTACTCTGTAGGGCGTAGGCACCACAACAAAGTTCAGACCAAGTTTTAAGCGATTTTTCAACGAACAAACCCATTTAAATCAGAATGACTAAACGAGGTGACGTCACACTAACGGTCGCTCCATGTTGAAGATAGGGCCTTGCACAAGGCCCATTTTCAAATGAAGGGAACGAATTTCTTCAACACCAAGAGGCCGCGGGGGTTGCAACCTAGATAGATAGTGGTTTCTGAACCTCGCCGCAAACTTGGCTATCTCAACTCAAACCCCATGTTAAAGGTGGGATAGTCCCTTTAAATCAGAATGACTAAACGAGTGACGTCACACTAACGGTCGCTCCATGTTGAAGATAGGGCCTTGCACAAGGCCCATTTTCAAATGAAGGGAACGAATTTTTTCAACACCAAGAAGCTGCGGGGGTTGCAACCTAGATAGATAGTGGTTTCTGAACCTCGCCGCAAACTTGTCTATCTCAACTCAAACCCCATGTTAAAGGTGGGATAGTCCCTCTAATTTGTGTTGTGAGGAAAAGGCAGTAGGACATCGGTTTTGATACCTATGATGCTATTTTTGGCCTCCACGGTTCGATGTGATCCACTATGACGCATATTAATGACGATGGCCAATACCAAACAAGGATTTTGCAAGGAAAGTAGGCCCACTACCGAACGTTGTCCTC